AGACCAAATTTACGTTTGATAGGTGTACCTGAATGCGACGGAGAGAATGAATCCAAGCTGGAAAATACCCTTCAGGGTATTATTCAGGAAAATTTTCCTAAACTAGCAAAGCAGGTCAATATTCAACCCCAGGTAATACAGAGAACCCCACAAAGATATTCCTCAAGAAGAGAGACCCCAAGGCACATAATCGTGAGATTCACCAGGGTTGAAACGAAGGAGAAAATACTAAGGGCAGCCAGAGAGAAAGGTCAGGTTACCCACAAAGGCAAGCCTATCAGACTTACAGCAGATCTCTCAGCAGAAACTCTACAAGCCACAAGAGAGTGGGGGCCAATATTCAACATCCTCAAAGAACAGAACCTTCAGCCCAGAATTTCATATCCAGCCAAACTAAACTTCACAACTGAAGGAAAAATAAAATCTTTTATGAACAAGCAAGAACTCAGAGATTTTATTACCACCAGGCCTGCTTTACAAGAGCTTCTGAAAGAAGCATTACACACAGAAAGAAACGACCAGTATTAGCCTTTCTAAAAATATACCAAAAAGTAAAGAGCACCAATATAAAGAAGAATTTACACCAACGAATGGATAAAACAGCCAGTTAACATCAAATGGCAGTAACCCTAAATTTAAATCGACTAAATTCCCCAATCAAAAGACACAGCCAAAACCCAACGGCATGTTACATCCAGACCTGTTTCACATGCAAGGATACACAAAGACTCAAAACAAAGGGATGGAGAAAGATTTACCAACCAAATGGAGAGCAAAAATAAATAATAAATAAATAAATAAAAAGCAGGAGTGCAAATCTGGTATCGGATAAAATAGATTTTAAAGCAACAAAGATACAGTGGTAAAAGGATCAATGCAACAACAAGAACTAACGATCCTAACACACAGATACATAAAGACTTAGACTCAATGAGACAGAAAATTAATCAGGATATCAAGGACTCTAACTCAGATCTGGAACAAGTAAACTTAATAAATATTTATAGAGCTCCCCACTTCAAATACACCTACTCAAATACATTGTCAATACCACATCACACCTACTCCTAAGTTTAAATGAAACATTAATTGGCCATTATTAATACCCAATTTTTTTCAGAATAAAGCAATATTTCCGTTTACTCTCCCTCTTTCTTCCTCTCCTTTACTTATTTTTTTTTTTTCTTTCCTTCTCTCAAAAAATGAAATCAACTTGTAAACCTCTAGATCCAGGTCAGCAATGTCTCTCTCATTGCTTGATTTCCTTCCTTCCCTTCCCTTCCTCCCTCCCTCCCCGACCCCTCCCTCCCTCCCTTCCTTCCTCCCTCCCTACCGTCCTCCTTCCCTCCCTTCCTCCCAAAAAAAAAAAGAAAAAAAGAAAAGAAACAAAACTAGGAGAACCTGGAGCTGTGACTTAGACAAAATCTCCTTCTTCAAGAAGCAGTGAACAGCTGCAATGCACAGGTGGAGGGACTAAAAGGCAGCCAGTGAGCTCAGACATGGTAAGTGGGACTCTGGTGACCTAAGCGAGAGGAAGCAGCAGCAAAGGAGTTGCAGCCCCAGTCCAACCACAATGAGGACCAGCTGGGCTGTCTAGAGGAAGCTTGACTGAATGGGGCCTAAAGTGTCAAAACAACAATGGGTATGGGTGGGGTGGGCAGAAGGGATGAGGGATGCCCAGACAAGTACCATGTGGAGGTGTAGAGAGAACAGAGGACAACAAAGGTCCGGATCATAACATGCCTCGTTAACTACATCCTCAGGGCAGGGCCATGAGTTTTATGACAGACGTGACACGTTGAGATGTGCATTTAGAGACCGTGTCACCTGTGTCCGGGGAGAACAGATGGGAGACTGAACAAGCCAGACTGTAGACCAAGGAGGAGATTCAGGGCAGCCCAGGTGAGAACAAAGCCACCAGGCTCAGAGTGCAGCACAGAGAGGTGATGGATGGGATGGAAGCTGGGAAGGCTTCGGGGCTTTCTTCAGTCTTATAGATTTATTACTTAAGGTCTATGTAATTATTCTGTTATTTTTTTTAAATGTTGCTCAGCCTGGCCTTGAATGCACAGCCTCGCCTCCTCAAGCACCATGACAACTGTCCTGAGTCACTGTGGCTCCCTATTCTGTTATTCTTAGAGGTTTTTCCCCCTCCAATAAAGCTATTATAAGCACTTCAGATATTGATCCCCCACCACTGCAGAAGGAGTGACATATAATTATGTATATTCATGGTATATATGTATATGGCGTGCAGATGCTCCTTGACTTAGAATGGCGCTAAGCTCCAATAAACTCATCCTAAGTTGAAAAATCCTAAATAAAACACTAAGTCATGGACTGCGTACACATGTGCATCTGTCTCTATCATTTATGAAGCAGTCTGCTAATGGATAGAAACAGATTGTTAGGCAGGCAGGAAGAGTGGTGGACTGGAACCAAATTCTATCACCACATCTCATACGACTGCATTCCTATGAGCAAAGAGTCAACAGAAAAGGGGCTGTGGGAGGCACACCAAAAACAGAAGGACCCTATAACTCTGCAGCCAGTCCACAGGGAGATGCTCTGATGAGCACCTCTTCTGTTTAGTCCACCCAGCCCAACATCAGGTACACAGAGTCCTCAAATCCCACCTGGAAGGCAGGGTCTGATACAATTATCCACTGAAAATAAGACACCTAGGCTGGGCAGTGGCTCACACCTGTAATACCAGCACTTTGGGAGGCTGAGGCAGGTGGGTCACCTGAGGTCGGGAGTTTGAGACTAGCCTGGCCAACTAGGTGAAACCCCGTCTCTACTGAAAATACAAAAATTAGCCAGGTGTGGTGGGCTCCTATAATCCCAACCACGTGGGAGGCTGAGGCAGGAGAATCGTTTGAACCCAGGAGGCAGAGTTTGCAGTGAGCCAAGACAACAACATTGTGATCCAGCCTGGGTGACTGGTGAAACTCCATCTCAAAATAAAAATATAAAAACAATTTTTTTTTTTTTTTCCCCGAGAGACAGAGTCTTGCTCTGTCACGCAGACTGGAGGGCAGGGGTGTGATCTTGGCTCACTGCAGCTTCCACCTCCTGGGTTCAAGCAATTCCAGAGCCTCGGCCCCCCAACTAGCTAGGATTATAGGAACCAACCACTATGCCTGACTAATTTTTTGTATTCTTAGTAGAGACAGGGTTTTGCCATGTTGGCCAGGCTGGTCTCCAACTTCTGATCTCAAGTGGTCCACCCACCTTGGCCTACCAAAGTGGTGGGATTATAAGTGTGAGCCACCATGCACAGCCACAAACACCCTCTTAAATGGAACCCTGATGCCCTCAGTCATATCAGTAACCACACCCACCTCAATACTCAAAGAGAACCAGGAGGCTCTTGCTCATTATACAAAGGAGGGTATGTGCTAAGTGGTCAGCAATGATGTGGCTGGCCCTATCAGCCCTACAGCCTTGCACAAATACTTGGCCTCTGTGCCTCACTGTCCACATCTTTAATGGAGTAGAACACCTCATCTCTGTGGAACAGTGACCACTGAAGGAAACACCCAGTATGGATCCGAACACTCTATCAACTAATTTGCTAACTACTGACAGGTGACACGTCTGGGTAAGGCACTGCTCCCAGGGTTAGGAATGGAATGGGAAGCAGCAACAAAAAAACCACCCATGGAGCATACATTCTCGCTGGAAAGATGATCAACAAATTAAATAATAGATCTTATATCAGAAGGGCTGGAAAGTTTATCTCTTCTTAAGGTATGAGTGCTATGAAATAAGGGCCAAAGAAACCTTCACCACAGGGGGAACTGGAACTAATGCTTCCAGCTCTCAGCAAGGGCTTTATTCATTTCCAGAAAAGACCTGGCAGGACTTGGCTTAGCCTTAGAGGAGGACTGAGAGGAGGGCGACGAAAGCCGCACAGAGGCAGTGACATTAGCCGTAGAGGAGGACTCAGGAGGGTGAAGAAAGCCACACAGAGGCAGTGACATGCAGTCTTCGCCCAGAGTGATTTACTCCTCAGGCTCAGGGGCCTTGAAAATTGGCCTCCCCTGAAGGTTTGCAGGGACAAGAGGAATGAATCTGATCAAAGCCAAAAGCAGTAGACTATGCTCAGAGAGGCGATGAGGCAGTTAGGTTCAGATGCCAAGTAACCAGGTCTTCCAAAAATTATCTTATGGCCCCGATTAAGCTGGCAAGCTGCCACCAGCAATCGGGCCACAACCCAAATCTCCAGGGGCCTGAAAAGAGCAAAGGGCTTTCACATCTTTTAGCCAAGATGGCCTAAGCTTTGGGGACCCATATAAAAACAAGGTAATTTCTGGGGGCCAGGAGAAAGGGTTAACACAATGAAGGAAACCTACAAAGCCACTCCTCCAGAGGCCAATGGGCAGATTTACCTGAGGTGCTAGAGGCCGTGGACACCCCCCACCCTGCCCTGGGGCCCACAGTTAGCACATGAGGCAGGCTACTTGGTGTTGATGGCCCCTGAGCAGAGCCTGCTGGAGACCAGCTAGCAGCTTAGCTGCCTCTCCTGTATCCAGAACCCCGGGTTGGCTGGGGCACAGGGATGGTTGTAAGACTCTCACAAATCTGATTATTTGACCCATGCCAGATGGGAGCACCTGAGCAGTGCCACACAATGGGAATTCTCTCAAGGGCACACCAGAGGGGGCCTAATCTCAAACAGCACTACTCCCAGCTCTGGGCTCCTCAAGAAAGACATGGGCCTCTACCCTTAGTCAGACCATCTGTGGGCTAAGGAACAATCCAAGCTGTCACCAAAGGGCCAGCCAGATCCAATTCTCTAGGGCTTCCATCTTGGTGAAGAAATCCAGCATCCAGAAGCCCTAATCTAGACCCTCTTCAGCTCTTCTTCAACACTTTACCTGGAAAGTGAACAAGTCATTGTCCCAGCCTGGGCAACATGGGAAAACCCCGTCTCTACCAAAAAAAATACAAAACCTTAGCCGGGCATAGTGGTGTGTGACTGTAGTCCCAGCTACCTGGGAGGCTGAGGTGGGAGGCTCGCTTCAGACTGGGAAGCTGGAGCAGCAGTGAGCCATGATCACGCCACTGGATTCCTGCCTCAGTGACAGAGTGAGATCCTGTTAAAAAAAAGCACACACACAAGTCAAAACTCCACTGGCTCCCAGGGAAGACAAAGAAAAACAAGCAGCTACAACAGGAATGCTCTACAGGAGACAGAAAGGCAGAAGAGAGCAGGAGGCGGTTGGAGGAAGTTAAAAGCACCACAAGGTAATACCCAAAAAAATCACCAAGCTCCAAAACATCCAAGAATATTCAAGTGCCCCCAAATGATTACAAGCACTGTCTACAGAATACAGGCCAAAATCTTTGTATCATATAGCCAGCCTCCCCTCCCAACTTGCCCCTCACCTTTCTGGCTTCATTTGCAGTTACAGACATATGTTCCCTCCCTGCCACCAAAAAAATCTTGCTATGCAAAGACGCACAGTCTGTGAGGAAAAAAAATATTAGGGGCACAACACTAAAAAATGTTGTCAGTGACACACATACACAAAACAACCTAGAGAAAATGGTAGTACTGTTCTAAACATGTTAAATGGTTAAGAAACACAACTGTGATACTTTACCTTGAAAAAAGCCTGAAGCTTGCTCTCTGTGCAAGTGGGCCTCAGAAGGTTCACAGCTTGTGTTATTGAGAAATGGAGGGAAAGAGAGTGAATGCTGGAACACCAGATGTGCACAGATGTGGCTCACACCCAAGTCAACTGAAGTAGCTGATACATGTCTAAGGTATGCATAATTACATGGTTTGGTTCAGTTGGCCTCAATTTTTCATGTTCACCTAATATTTCTCACAGTTGACACTGTGTACAGCAAACTCTCAAGAGGTTCTCTAAAATAGCAAACCTCATTGGAACAAATTCATGCTTCCAAACAATACTTCAAGCAGAAGCAGAAATGTACTTTACTCCAGGTATCCTGGAAGTCAGTTCAAAGAACCTGACTTCGAATCGGAGACTTTGACCTGACACAGGGTACCTGGAGTAAAGTACAGTTCATGATCAGTGCCGTAATTTGATATACAGGCAAGGGTCCTGCCACTCCCACCCCATTTTGGTGAATTTCTGCTCATTCTTCAAGGCCTACCTGAAAGGTTGTTTCCATTTCTCTCACTCCTCCCAGTCCTGACTTAACCATTTCTTCTATAACCCCTTCAGACAAAAAAATGTTATTGATCAAATACTTATCATGGTGTCCCCACCCATTCACATAGTACTTGGCACACATGTAAATAAGATCTTTTTTTCCCACTAAAATTACCAAGCTTTTGGCTGGGTACGATGGGATGGCTCACACCTATAATCCCAGAACTTTGGGATGCCGAGACAGGAGGACTGCTTGAGCCCAGGAGTTCTTGACCAGCCTAGGCAACATGGTGAAACTCCTCCTCTACAAAATATTAATACAAAAAAAAAAAAAAAATGAGGGTGTGATGGCACGTGCCTATAGTCCCAGTTACTCAGGAGGCTAAGATGGGAGGGTCGCTTGTGCCCAGGGAGGTTGAGGCTAAAGTGGGTGGGTTATGACTGTACCACTGCACTCCAGCCTGGGCTAGACCCTGTCATTCCCTCCCATCCCCACCAAAAGTTATCAAGCTCATCAGATGCTTGAAAGAGATGGCAGATACCTTGAAAAGATGGCAGAGTGTTTTTGAAAAGGAAAAAAACAATTTCAGAGATGGGCGGAATGGAGCCCTTACATTGCAAGTAAAAACAGTCACAATTAGGAAATAAAGGAAGCCTTAAAAACACGACTGGAGCCAGTATAGCAGTGTGCACCTGCATTAGTTCGTTTTCACACTGTGGCTGCTAATAAAGACATACCCAGACTGAACGACTTACAAAAGAAAGAGGTTTAATGAATTTAACAGTTCCACATGGCTGGGGAAGCCTCACTGTCACGGTGGAAGGCAAGGAAGTGCAAGTCACATCTTACGTGGATGGTGGCAGGCAGAGAAAGAGCTTGTGCAAGGAAACTCCCCCTTACAAAACCATCAGATTTTGTGAGACTTATTCACCATCAGAAAAACATGGCAAAGACCTGCCCCATTTCAATTACCTCCCATCAGGTCCCTCCCACATGTGCGAGTTCAAGATCAGATCTGGGTGGGGACACAGCCAAACCATATCAGCCCACCTCAGCCCCTCCCAAATCTCATGCCCTCACATTTAAAAACCAATCATGCCTTCCCACAGTCCAAGGTCTTAACTCATTTCAGCTTTAACTCAAGAGTCCACAGTCCAAAGTCTTATCCAAGACAAGTCCCTTACACCTACAAGCCCGTAAAATCAAAAGCAATTTAATTACTTCTTAGATATAATGGGGAGTACAAGCACTGGGTAAATACAGCCATCCCAAATAGGAGAAATTGGCCAAAACAAAGGGGCTACAGGCCCCATGCAAGTCTGAAATCCAGCAGGGCGGTCAAATCTTAAAGCTCCAAAGTGATCTCCTTTGACTCCATATCTCACATCCAGGTCACGCTGATGCAAGAGGTAAGTTCCCAAGGTCTTGGGCAGCTCCGCCCCTGTACAGCCTCCCTCCCACCTGCTTTCACAGGCTGGCATTGAGTATCTGCCGCTTTTCCAGGTGCACAGTGCAAGCTGTCAGTGGATCTATCATTCTGGGGTCTGGAGGACAGAGGCTCTCTTCCCACAGCTCAACTAGGTGGTTTTCCAGTAGCGACTCTGTGTGGGGGCTTCCCACATTTCCTTCTGCACTGCTCTTAGGGGTTCTCCATGAGTGCCCCGCCCTGCCACAAACTTCTGCCCAGGCATCCAGGTGTTTCCACATATCCTCTGAAATCTAGGCAGAGGTTTCCAAACCCTGATTCTTGACTTCTGTGCACTTGCAGGCTCAACATCATGTGGAAGCTGCGAAGGCTTGGAGCTTGTACCCTCTGACGACATGGTCTGAGCTCTACCCCTTTCAGCCAGAGCTGGGGTGGCTGGAACACAAGGCACCAGGTCCCTAGGCTGTACTCAGCAGGGGAACCCTGGACTCAGCCCAGAAAATGGTATTTTCCTCCTGGGCATCTGGGCCCGTGATGGGAGGAGCTACCATGAAGACCTCTGACATGCCCTGGAGACATTTTCCCCCATTGTCTTGGGATTAACATTTCTGCAGCTGGCTTTAATTTCTCCTCAGAAAATGAAATTTTATTTTCTGTCACACTGTCAGGCTGCAAAATTTCCAAACTTTATGGTCTGCTTCCCTTATAAAACTGAACCCTGGCCAGGTTCAGTGGCTCATGTCTGTAATCCCAGCACCTGCCGAAGTGAGCAGATCACCTGAGGTCAGTTTGAGACCAGCCTGACCAACGTGGAGAAACGTGTCTCTACTAAAAATGCAAAATCAGCCGGGTGTGGTGGCACAGGCCTGTGGTCCCAGCTACTCAGGAGGTGGAGTTTGCATTGAAACTCCATCTCAAAACAAACAAACAAAACAAAAACAAAAAACATACCTGAACACCTTTAATAGCACCCAACTCTTTTTTTTTTTTGAGATGGGGTCTCTGTCGCCCAGGCTGGAGTGCAGTGGTGCAATCTCAGCTCACTGCAACCTCCACCTTCCTAGTTCAAGCAATTCCCCTGCCTCAGCCTCCCCAGAAGCTGAGATTACAGGTGCATGCTACCATGCCTGGCTAACCAACTCATCTTTTGAATGCTTTGCTGCTTAAACATTTATTCTGCGATTGGCCTGGCACAGTGGCTCACATCTGCAATCCCAGCACTTTGGGAGGACAAGGTGGGCAGATCACCTGAGGTCAGGAGTTAAAGACTGGCCTGGCCAACATGGTGAAACCCCAACTCTACTAAGAATATAAAAATGAGCCAAGCATGGTGGTGCACACCTGTAATCCCAGCTACTAGGGAGGCTGAGATAGGAGACTTGTTCGAACCTGGGAGGCGGAAGTTGCAGTCAGCAAGAGGTGCACCACTGCACCTCTCCAGCCTGGGTGACAGGGCAAGATTCTGTCTAAAAAAAAAAGCCAGGCCTGGTGGCTCACACCTGTAATCCCAGCACTTTGGGAGGCTGAGGTGGGTGGATCACGAAGTCAGGAGTTTGAGACCAGCCTGAGCAACATAGCAAACCCTGTCTCTACTAAAAATTCAAAAATGAGCTGGGTGTGGTGGCATGTGCCTGTAATCCCAGCTACTCAGGAGGCGGTGGCAGGAGAATGGCTTGAACCCAGGAGGTGGAGGTTGCAGTGAGCCAAGATCGTGCGTGCCATTGCACTCTAGCCTGGTGACGGAGGAAGACTCCATCTCAAAAAAAGAAGTTTGAGGCTGTACTGTGCTATATAATTGCACCGGCAAATAGCCACTGCACTCTAGTCTGGGCAACAAAGCGAGACCACCTCCTCTTAAAAAAAAAAAAAAAAAAAAAAAAAACCCACACGGATTATTATTATGGGAGAATTAAGAGGGTACATTTCTATCTGAGGTATTTTCAACTTTTCAGAACCAACACAGAAGACATCAAGCCACTTAGAAAGGACGCAAATTTTAGTGCAGGTTACAAGAACGCTGCTACAGCAAGCAGAAGAGTTTAGCAGTAGTTTGGCCAAAGTAAGAGGCGAGGTACAGCAGACAGGGAAATGCCTAGGCCCCAAGACAACCTCCCCTAGCTGTTGAGAGGAGAAAACTTAGGAACCGAGAATCAGAAAAGTTTCTTGAGGATATTCATTTATTTATTTATTTTGAGATGGAGTTCCGCTGTTGTTTCCCAGACTGGAGTGCAATGGCACGATCTCAGCTCACCGCAGCCTCCACCTTCTGGGTTCAGGCACTTCTCCTGCCTCAGCCTCCCGAGTAGCTGGGACTATAGGCGCACACCATCGTGCCCAGCTAATTTTTCTATTTTTAGTAGAGATGGGATTTCACCTTGTTGACCAGGATGGTCTCGATCTCTTGACCTCATGATCCACCCGTCTCGGCCTCCCAAAGTGCTGGGATTATAGGCGTGAGCCACCGCGTCCGGCCTGATTTTTTTTTTTTTTTTGAGGTGGAATCTCACTCTGTTGCCCAGGCTATAATTCAATGGCAAAATCTTGGCTCACTGCAGCCTCTGTCTCCTGGGCCCAAGCAATTCTGCCTTAGCCTCCCAAGTAGCTGGGACTATAGGAGCGTGCCACCATGCCCGGCTAATTTTTGTATTTTATATTTTCTTGGTGAGATGGAGTTTGACCATATTGGCCAGACTGGTCTCAAACTCCTGACCTCAGGTGATCTGCCCGCTCCAGCCTCCCAAAGTGCTGGGATTAAAGCCACTGTGACCTGCTGATGTTGATATTTTTATCTCCTCCCATAAATCACAAACATTATTAATGGTATCTAGAGTAGTGCATCCTTTCAGGAGGTTTTTAATTTACATTGTTTAGACTCATCAGAGGATCACTATCTATGTAGCTATGCCCTACAAAATGCATTTCTTTCCTTTTTTATTTTTAAAGAGATTGGTGGGGGAGGGGATAGTCTCACTATGCTGCCCAGGCTGGTCTCTAACTCCCAAGCTCAAGTGATCCACCAGCTTTGGCCTCCCAAAGTGCTGTGGGCACAGAAATGAGCCACCATACCCAGCTTCAAAACACATCTTAAATAATATTTGAGAGTTGAAATTACTCCTTAATCCATGGGCTGCAGAACAGATGTTAACATTAATCTTATTCATCTCCATGAGACCTCTTTGGTGACTAAGTGCACTCTCAATGAGCAGTAATATTTTGAAAGAAATCTTTTTTTCTTAGCTGTATATCTCAATAGTGGGCTTAAAATATTCAGTAAAATATACCATAAACAGATATGCTACTATCCTGACTTTCCTGTTTCACTGATAGAGCACAGAGGAGACTTTTTTTTTCTTTTTTTGAGACAGAGTCTTGCTATGTTGCCAGGCTGGAGTGCAGTGGTGCCATCTTGGCTCTCTGCAACTCCGCCTCCTGGATTCAAGCAATTCTCCTGCCTCAGCCTCCTGTGTAGCTGGGACTACACACGTGCCACCACCACGCCCAGCTAATTTTTGTATTTTTAGTAGAGACGGGGTTTCACCATGTTTGCCAGGATGGTCTCGATCTCTTGACCTCGTGATCCACCCACCTCAGCCTCCCAAAGTGCTGGGATGACAGGTGTGAGCCACTGTTGGGCCAATTTTTGCATAATTCTTAAGGGCCCTAAGATTTTCAGAACAGTAAATGAGCAGGTTAAAACTTAAAGTCACCAGCTGCATTAGCCCCTAGCAAAAGAGTCAACTGTCCTTTGAAGCCAGGTATTGACCTTTCTCTAGCTATGAAAGTCCTAGATAGCATCTTTCCCCCTTATAAGGCCGTCTCATTTACATTGAAAGTCTGTTCAGTGTGGCCACATTCCTCAATCATTTCAGCTATATATTCTGTATAACTTACTGCGGCTTCCACATCCATACGCACTCCCTCACCTTACACTTCCATGTTACCGAGGTGGCTTCTTTCCTCAAACCTCATGAACTAACCTCTGCTAGCTCCACTCTTCTGCAGCTTCCTCACCTTTCATAGAACTGGAGAGTTAGGGCCCTGCTCTGGATTAGGCTTTCACTTAAGAGAATGTCACGGATAGTTTCATCTTCTATCTAGACCACTAAAACTTTCACCCTATCAGCAATAAGGCTGTTGTTGGGCTTATCATTCATGTGTTCGTTGGAGCAGTAATTTTTTTTTTTTTTTTTTTTTTTTGAGATGGAGTCTTGCTCTGCTGCCCAGGCTGGAGTGCAGCAGCACAATCTGGACTGACTGCAACCTCCATGTCCCAGGTTCAAGCGATTCTGTCTCAGTCTCCCAAGTAGCTGGGACTACAGGCGCACACCACCATGCCCACCCAATTTTTTTTTTTTTTTAGTAGAGATGGGGTTTCACCATATTGGCCAGCGAGGTCTCATACTCCGCACTTTGGGATGCTGAGGCGGCCGTATTGACCTTGTGATACGGCCGCCTCAGCATCCCAAAGTGCTGAAATCACAGGCATGTGAGCCACCACACCCGGTCCATTTTAATTTTAAGAACTTTTCCTTTGCATTCGTAACTTGGCTAACTGTTGTTTGGCACAAGAGGCCTAGTTTTGGGCCTATCTCAACTTTTGATATGCCTTTCTTACTAAGCTTAATCATTTCTAATTTTTTATTTAAAGTAAGAGAGAGAGAGCTGACTGGTCCTTTCGCCTGAACACTTAAGAGGACACTATAGGGACACTGACTGGCCTAATTTCAATATTGTGTCTCAAGGAATAGACAGGCCTGGAGAGAGAGACTGGAAACTGGTCACTGGAGCTGTCAGTACACACTCAACTTTCACCGATTAAGTTCACTGTCTTATATGAGTGCTGTTCATGGTAACCTGAACCACTGATCACAGATCACCATAACAGATGTAATAATGAAAAAGTTTGAGGCTGGGCATGGTGACCCATGACTCTAATCCCAGCACTTTGGGAGGCCTAGGTGGGTGGATCACTTGAGGTCAGGAGTTCAAGACTAGCCTGGCCAATATGGTGAAACCCCGTCTCTACTAAAAACAAAAATTACCTGGATGTGGTGGCATGCGCCTGTAGTCCCAGCTGCTTGGGAGCCTGAGGCAGGAGAAATGCTTGAACCCAGGAGGCGGAGGTTGCAGTTAGCCGACATAGACCGCTGCACTCCAGCCTGGCTCCTGGCAACAGAGTGAGACTCGGTCTCAAATAAACAAACAAACAAACAACAAACAAACAAAAAGCTGGGTGTGGTGGTTCGTGCCTGTAATCCCAACTACTCGGGAGGCTGAGGCAAGAGAATCACTACTTGAGCCCAGGAGGTCTCAGTGAGGTGACAGCATGCCATTGCACTCTATCCTAGGTGAGAGTGAGATTCCGTTTCAAAAAAAAAGTTTCAAATGTTGTGAATTACCAAAACGTGACACAAGAGACATGAAGTGAGCACAAGCTGTTGAAAAAATGGCTGGCACTTACAGACTAGCTCAATGAATGCTTGCTATAAACTTTCAGCTTGCAAAAAACGCAGTACTTGCAAAGCACAATAAAGTGAAGTATCTCTTATTCCCTCCACCCTCATCCAGCTACAGGAGGGCCACCACTGTGACTATTTTGTTTATTGCTGTATTCCAAGCAGAAAGTTTGGCACACAGGAGACCTCAAAAATGTGTATGCGACTTTGATCAAGGTGAGTGAAAAATCTTACTCATTTTCTGTACAAAGCCCAGATGCGCATACATTATATAAAAAGATGGTTTATGTGTGACATTAAGATTTCATGGAGATTAGAAAAACAATGCCCACAAAAACGCCATACAAAGGTAGTAAATTAAGAAGAGATCAATATAACATGTATTAAAGATATCTGGAAACTCAAATTCAGGCAATACAAAAGCCAGCAACACATCTTTTTACTCGGAGGTTCCTATTTCACCCCAAACTCACAGGGAAGGCTGAACTCAATGTGTCCTTGCCCATTAAAAAGCAAATCACCAAGAAAGTAACAAAAGAGTCCCTTCGATGTCTCTGCCTTTTATTGTCTGCAGTCCCAAAACTCCTGGTCACTGAATTCAGAAGCCTAATCCCGCAGTTAGGACCTAACCTCATCTGCTGCCAAACGGCTGCGTGACCTTGGGCAGACCACCTCGCTCTCCCCAACCAGTCGGACAGTCGAGGGCCGGCTCCACAGCCGAGACCCTAGGTCTGCCTCGAGAACTTGGTGCAGAAACAGAACGAAGGTTACCAAGATTGTGAACGTCCGTGGCAACCGACGAGTAAAAGACAAAAGCTGAAACGCCTACAAAAGCGGCTGGCCCGAGCTCTAGCCTCTTCCCTCCCCCCGGATGGACCAACGGTGGAAAAGCGCTGTTTCCTAGCAACTGCGTTTCCGGTCGCGACAGTCTGCATACACCTGTGGACAGGCGCGCCAGGGCGGCGGAGGGCCCGGGCGCTGCAGGCTGGGCCGCAAGCCTCACAGTCACACGTTCTTCCAACCACTCGCCCGGGGCCCGGAAGCGCACCCGGAAGTCGAGGCCGTACTAAGTTTCAGGCCGCGAGCTCGGCGCCCCCACCGTCAGGCCCGCATCCGTACTCACACCCCCTCGACCGACAAAAGGCCCCGCCACGCGGCCCGGGGACTCCGGCAAACTCGCGGGCCCCAGGATGGCGGGGCTGCGGCGCGAACACACAAAGGCGGCGTCCTCAGCAGGGAACAAAAACCCTGGCCAGGTCGTCCCCCAACGGCACACCCCGCTCGACTCTCCGAGTGACCTTGAGGGCCTTCCCGCCCCTCACAAGGCCTCAGTTTCCCTTCCTAGGCTATGGACTAAGCCCGACGGCCGCGGCCCGCCGGGGTGAGCCGAGACCCAGACGCAGGGCTCCCAACTTCCATTTCCCGCACGGACCACGGTGCGAGCGGCCACAGCTGGCCCGAGGGCTCCGGAATGCGGGACCTCGCCCGGGCCGTGCCGCGCCGCGCAAGGCGGCTTCCTAAGAAGCGGGCGCCCAGGCCTGTGTAGGCCGCGAAGCCGTCTAAACCTCGCAACTGCACAGGCTCTGACTTTCCGTTGCCTTCCCGCAAAGCCCGGCCTAACCTGCAGCTTGGTTCGGTCCGCAGGCGCCGCCGCCGTCGCACTCGAGAGAAGAAGCTCCTTCACCAGCCGCGGAGAAGAGCCTCCTCAAGCAAGAGGCCGCCGCCTCAACTGCGACCCACTTCCGCTTCGGAGACCTCGGCTCCGCCCCCCCGAAGTCCCCATTGGCAGCCTGCCGCCCCTACTTCCGCGGTCGGCCGGGTAGGGAGGCATTTTTTAATCCTATTGGATAAGAAACCATCTGTTACTACTTTAAAGCGCGCCTCTTTCCGGCCCCGCCCACAATATGCGTCCGAAGCCGCACCTTCCGCTAAGAGAAGGCGCCGGCAAGGCCTTTAGGTAGTCGTAGCGTGAGGGCGGCCCGGGCACCTGAGCTCGGCAGCCACTGACCGCCCCTACGCCGCCGGAGCCGGCCCGCCAGCGGCCTCCGGAGTCGAGCGAACCCCGAGCCGCCCCATTTCCAGGTGTCGAGCTGCACCCCAGCCGCCGTGTCCTTGGCTTGACGCAGCTGGCCGGAGGCGCGGAGCGGGTCGTTCGTGCCCGACAGCCGTTCCACGCCCCTCTCCCAGCTGCTGTATCCCCGCCTTTTAACGAGGCCTTTGTGAGGACGGTCGCTGGGCCTGGGGGCTCTGACGATGGGTGGAAGCCAGGCCTGGTTCTGTTCCAGCCCCTCCGCGTGCCAAACCCTGGGGCCGGCGTGCGGGTCCCGCCCCTGCGAGGACCCGGGGGCGTTTGCAAGCTGGCGTGGAGGCTGATGCCTAACCGAGGAAGAGTTAGTGGCGCACTGGGCGCGGGGCAGCGCGGCGCAGGTGCACGCAGGCCCAGGTCGGACTGGAGCGGGGGTGGGTCTTGAGCTCGGGTCCTGAACTGGACTTGGACATGGGTTTAGCAAGCAGGAAAACAGCCCACATGATCCCTGCTGCCTGCGAATACGCAGACCTTAGTCCAGGGCCGGCATCTCTGGTCCCTCGGCACCCTCAGGCAACGTGAAGGTCACCCCAGATGCCTTGGGTTGCGTCGTTTCCTTACGTAAGTTTCTGGTTTCTGTTTCTTTTGAGACGGACTTTCCCTCTTCTTGCCCAGGCTGGAGCGCTGTGGCGTGATCCTGGCTCACCGCAACCTCCGCCTCCCGGGTTCACGCGATTCACCTGCCTCAGCCTCCCGAGTAGCTGGGATTACAGTCGCCCATCACGCCCGGCTAACTTTTTTTTTTGTAATTTCAGTAGAAACGGGGTTCCACGATGTTGGCCAGGCTGGTCTCGAACTCCTGACCTCAGGTGTTTCAGCCTCCTAAAGTGCTGGGATTACAGGTGTGAGCTACCTCACCCGGCCACTGTAAGGTGACCTTACAGTGAATGTGTAACCTCGAAAATTGAGTCAAGTATTGGAATGACAAGGCAGGTAGAAACCAGAGCGTTAACGTTTTCGTGTTGAGTTTACAAACAATATGTGTTTGCTATTTTTGGTAATTGTAAGGAAATTTGGCATGGCAGAGTATCTGATAGATAAATCGAATTCCCCTGTAAAATATCTTTTTTTTTTTTTTTTTTTAGATGAGGTGTCACTCTGTCTGTCACCCAGGCTGGCATGCTGTGGCACGATCATGCCTCGCTGCAGCCTCAACCTCCCGAGGTTTAGATGATCCGTCCACCTTAGTCTCCTGAGTAGCTGGGACCACAGGTGCCTGCCACCATGCCCGGCTAATTTTTTTGTAGATAGAGGCTTTCACCATGTAACCCAGTCTTGTCTTGAACTCCTGGGCTCAAGCTCTCTGCTGACCTTGACCTCCCAAAACGTTGGGATTACAGGCGTAAGCCATCACCCCCTGCCCTAAGTATTTAATTTTGATAATGATTGTAGATTGAAAGGTGTAAGATTTTCTGAAGTTTGTGATTATAATTGGAAAAAAAGAGAACTTAAAAGTTTAAATATGTCCGGGCACGGTGGCTCACGCCTATAATCCCAGCACTTTCGGAGGCCAAGGCAGGTGGATCACGAGGTCAAGAGATCGAGACCATCTTGGTCAACGAGGTGAAACCCCGTCTCTACTAAAAATACAAAAATTAGCTGGGTATGGTGGCGCGTGCCTGTAGTCCTAGCTACTCGGGAGGCTGAGGCAGGAGAATTGCCTGAACCCAGGGGGCGGAGGTTGCCGTGAGCCGAGATCACGCCATTGCACTCCAGCCTGGGTAACAAGAGCGAAACTCTGTCTCAAAAGAAAAAAAAAGTTTAAATGTAGACATTTCATATATCTATGAGAACTTGATAAGGCAAACAACCGAAATGCTGAAAAATAAAATTAGATCCTATGTGTATAAATGCAGTTGAAAATGTTGAAGGGAATCTCAGTTCATAAATGGGGCCATACATGACTAATCAAAATGGTGGTTAAAAAGGATCAGATTTGGCCAGGCACAGTGGCTCACTCCTATAATTCTAGCACTTGGGGAGGCTGAGTCGGGTGGATCAGTTGAGGTTGGGAGTTTGAGACCAGCCTGACCAACATGGAGAAACGCCGTCTCTACTAAAACAAAATTAGCCGGGTGTGATGACGGGAAAGTGTAATCTCAGCTACTCGGGAGGCTGAGACAGGAGAATCGCTTGAACCTGGGAGATGGAGGTTTCAGTGAGCCACTGTACTCTAGCCTGGCAAGAGAGCAAGACTCTGTCTCAAAAAAGAAAATCAGATTTAGGCCAGACGTGGTGGCTCTCGCTTGTAATCCTAACATTTTGGGAGGCTGAGGTGAGAGGATTGCTTGAGCTGAGGAGTTTATAGACAAGCCTGGGTAACATGGTAAAACACCATCTCCACACACACACACACACACACACACACACACTAGCCAGGTGTGGTGGCACGTGCCTGTGGTCCCAGCTATTCAGGACGCTGAGACAGGAGGATTGCTTGAGCCCTTGAGGTCATAGCTGTCGTGAGTTGGGATCGCACTCCAGGCTGAATGACAGAAAGAGACCCTCTCTCTCTCAAAAAAAAATCTGATTTAGAAAAAAGATTGGTAATCTGCATTTCACGGACTAAGGAAAAGTTAGGGTTTTCTGTTTGTGGCTGTCGTACGTTGAAGATGGGATGTTAAAAACAAAGTCTCTAGAAATACCAGTTTCATGCTCAAAAGCTGCCTTCATCCTGGGCAACATAGTGAGACCTCATCTCTACTAAAAACAAAAAATTTGCCTGGTGTGGTGGTAAGTGCATGCAGTCCCAGCTACTAGGGAGGATGAGGCCAGAGGATCACTTGAGCCTGGGAGTGTAAGGCTGTATGCGCTATCATCATGTCACTGCACTCCAGCCTGGGTGACAAAGCGAGACCCTACCTCAAAAACACACAAGAGCTTCCTTCAAGTCCTCTCTGAGTCTCACCTGTAGTGAACTTGCTCCTTCACAAACAGCGCTTCCCTTGGGCCCTGAATGCCCACAGCTTGGAGAAAAGACTGGCACCTTGGTGCTCCCATAGTCCCACACATGGAAACCAGCTGAATGCAGGTTCCTGGGCTTCACACCAGATGATACTGAATCTGTTCTTAACTAGCTCCAAAGAAAGCCCCTGTCCAAGTGTCTCACACACTGTCAGCAAGGATCTTCTGCACTCAGGCAGAATGTCCACTCCCAGGCAGTGCAGCCAGGAAAGCTTCCAAGAGGCATTCCCAGCACCAGCTGGGCCATAGTTCCTCTGGCTGGCTTGACTGTAAAGAGCCTGTGCAGGGAGGGGGAGGCAAGGGTCTCCAGTGAAGGCCCTGGGCTGTGGAGGGTGTGTCTGTTACCGGTTGCTCTGGAACAAACCACCCCAAAGCTTGATACTTTGAACAGACATTTACTGTTGCTCAGGAATCTACAAGCCAGCGGGTGGGGGGGAGGTTCTTGTCTGGCTGTCCTTACATTTTGGGCTCTGCTGGTCTAGGATGGCCTCGGAGATAACTGGCTGTCCTCCGCATGGTGTCTCCTCCCAGCAGGCCACCCTAGTCGTGCTTGCACAGGGCTGCCTGGGCGAGGTTCCAAGAGAACAAGTGGGAGCTCCAAGGCCACCTGAGGCCCAGACTCAGAACTGGCACATGGCCACTTCTGCTGCACCCTAGGCCAGACCAGATGCAAGGGCTGGGGGAAATAGATTCCACCTCTTGATGGGAGGTGAGGGGCGGGGATACACAGACATTTTGCCACCACTCTACCAGGCAATGCCTACTTGAGGCCACCACTTTGGGGAATGGTGCCAGGCCTGCTCCCACCTAGGTTTGTGTGAGGGAGAGTCCTCAGGTGCTCTCAAGCGAGCTCTGAGCGGCTGCTAGTCCAGGAGGGGGCAGGGGAGGATGCTGTCATCTGCAACCGGTAGTGTTGTCATTTGCACGTCAGTTTGTTAGCTGCTCTAGAGGTTAGCCTCCTAGATGAAGGGTAATTCTGCCTTGCCACCATGCTTGCTTCAGGCACCCATGCAGACCTTCCCCCACTGCAGGAGCTGACTCAGCACGAGCATGTTCAATTCAGGCCCGTGAGACTGGGGCACCTGTGGTTTGTACCTCAGGCTGGAGCTCAGGACTGGAGACTGAGCTCTCAGATCAGGCACATCCTGAAGTCGGCTCCCTTTGCATTGACATTATGAGAGCTAAATAAATCCCCCTTCGAAACCTCTAGAGCTCAGAGGGGCTCTCTGGAGCAGGCATCATCAATGTATTCCCTCAATATCAAATTAAATGGACTTGGATCACACAACACAGGATGTGAGCAATGTTTATTTCTTTTTCTTTTTTTAAGACAGAGTTTCGCTCCTGTCACTCAGGCTGGAGTGCAATGGTGCAATCTCGGCTCACTGCAACCTCCGCCTCCTGGGTTCAAGCGATTTTCTTGCCTCAGCCTCCCGAGTAGCAGGATTACAGGTGCGTGCCACCACACCGAGCTAATTTTTGTATTTTTAATAGTGACGGGGTTTTGCCATGTTGGCCAGGCCAGTCTCAAACTCCTGACCTCAGGTGATCCATCCACCTCAGCCTCCCAAAGTGCTGGGATTACAGGCGTGAGTGCCACCATACCCAGCCAATGTTTATTTCTTTACATGAAATTTACTCTGCTCCCAGCTGTAGTTCTACAGAGATGTGAAAATTCTTCTCCTTACCCACCTGGGTGGTAAAGTCCTGGGGTTCTCTCAAACTCAGAATATTGGAGTAGGGCTCTGGTCCTTTAGTCTGTTCTTGTTTGTCACTGCAGCGATGCCTACCTTCCTGGTCTGAATGTACCCAGGGACCCAGCCTCCTCATCCGAGGTGCCATCTCCTCTGCAGGCTCAAGGAGGATCCTGGGAGTTGGCGCCAGGAACATACCTCCCCTGGACATCTATCTGTGCGTCAGTTTCCACTGCCCACCCCTACTGCTCAGCACCCCATGGACTTGACCCTCTTCTCTCTTCCTGGGACGAAAGTGGCTTCATGTGCTTTCTTCTGGAGGCTGTCGCCGGCAGGCCTTCACTCAGCAAGCCTGTCCTCAACGGGGAACCTTCCCGAGCTCCCGCCCTGGGCACTGCAGAACCCATCCATCTTGGTCCCGCCCCGGTGAACTGCTGCCTCCAGCGGCCCTGATCTTGTCGGATCCGCGCTGCTTCTCTTGCTGGAGAAGGGAGGAGGGGATGCTCTAAAGTCAGCCAGGCGCAGCTCTGGGTTCTGGCCCTCCGGGCAGGTCACATCCCTCTTTGAGCACTAGTGGACTCCTCTCAGCAGAACAGAGCAGGCCAGTTCTTAGTGAGGATGGTGGGGGCGCGTGAAGGGCCAGGGCAACGCTGCGTTCCAGAATCCTGGCCACTTACCCGGCCAGACGCGCACTCACAGTGGCCACCTAGTCTTGAGGGTTCTCCAGGTGAAGCCACCTGGATGCCGGCAAAGGGTGGGGGTTCCAGATTTCCACATCAGAAGGGGTCTGGGATCTTCGAAGAGGTGGGCACCAGGAATGTCTTACGCTGGGCTGTAGGGAAGTGCTAGGACCTGGGATTTCGCTTATAAAAACACAGGACGCCCAGTTAAGTGGAATTCCCGACAAGGGGCGGATACTTGTTTAGCAAAAGTTTGGCCCCACGCAACAACTGGGCATCCTGGCTTTTATCTGGCAACCCTTCTCTGGACAGATGAGGGAGGGAGAGGGGTGCGGTCAGGGTGCGGAGGCAGGGGGGCCGGCGCCGAGGGGTTCCAGGCCGAGGAAGAGGAGGCGCGCACTGCGGGCCACACGCTTTATTGGGGCGGTGGGGGTGGCGTGGCCCGCAGCTGCTGGGGCCCTCTCCGCCCGGCTCAGGCAGCCTCCAGGCGGCGCACTGGCCCAGGTCCCGAGCCTCCCTGCTGCAGCACCCGCAGCCTGCGCTCGCGGCTCCGCTCCTGCTCCAGCCAGTGCTGGGCCTCCAGCTGCGCCTGCGGGCCGGGGGATGCGTCGGCGCGGGCAGGGACACCCCCACCTCCTCCGGCGCCCGCCGCTGCGTAGCTTCGGGCCGCGGCCGGCCAGATTTCCCAGTCACCCGCGCCCCGCGATGCTGGTCCCCGCACGTGGCACCCGCCGGCCCCGGCTTTCTGTTGCCTGGGCTCCTTCCAGCCACTCGGACTCACCCGGGGCTTGGGGCGCGCGGCACGCGGCGCCGACACCTGCAGCAAAGCCGCCTGCTTGCAGCGCTCGGCCGCCCTCTCCGAGATCCTGCGCTGCAGCTGCTGCACGCGCTCGTCCTGCGTGGGCGCCGCCGGGGCCTTCTTTTTCTCCTCCCACCTGGCGGGCGACGCGGAGGGCTCAGGAGCTGGCTGGGGGGAGGCCCAGGCCATACCCAGGATGCCACCCGGGTCCGGGTGTTGCGGGCTCGAGCGCTAGGCGGCCGGAGAGGTTCACCGGAATGATTTAGGACAGGCAGTGAGGCCCCGGGGCTCCCAGACAGGACCACTGCACAGGGGCTGGGGGCGGGGGGGGGGGTTTCTCCAACAGTTCTACCCTTGTGCTCTTTTTTCGCTTGTCTAATTTTTGTTGTTCTTTGTTTGAGACAGGGTCTCACTCTGTTGCCCAGGCTGGAATGCAGTGGCACAATCATGACTCAAGGCAGCCTTGACCTCCCAGGCTCAAGCAATCCTCCTACTTCAGCCTCCCAAAATGCTGGGATTACAGGCATGAGCTACAGCCCCCGGCAGCTCTTTGTTTTAAACTTAACATTAAAAAAGGTCTAGCAGGTGTACTAAGTATGTGGATAGTAGGGGTACAAACGTGAAGCCCCCTTTGCCCTCACTCTCTCTGCCTCTTGCCTGGAGGTGCCGCTGCTCATGCTGTGCTGTGCATCGCTGCAGGCATCTGCACACGCGACCCTTGGTCCTTCTGATGATCTGTACTGTTTCCTGCTTTCTTTGGCGTCAGTGCACTTCACAGCCTGGGGTGTTTGCATGTGCTGTTCCCTGTCTAGATCACTCTTGTCTTACTGTCCAGGTCGCCCCTGGTGAATTTGTGCCGAGGCCTGGCTGCATGCCTGAGCTCTGCTCCACCTTTTTTTAATTTTTTAATTTTTTTAGCACCCTGACACCAACCAGACTGCATCTGAGCACCGCCAGGCCATGGGCAGCAGCTGGGAAGTGATGAGCTCTCCGGGGTGTGTGCCACCTTGTGGATCTGGTAGGCAGCCAGCCAGCTATGAACAGCACCAGCAGCGGTTGCCCTGTGCCTCCTCTGAATTGCAGCCAGAGCTGCAGCCCCTCTGAGGACCAACAGTGAAGGGTTCTCCTCCATCAGCAGTGATTAGTCCTTCCTTCTGTCTACCCTATCATCCACCCCAGCCAGTCCCACTCAGACACTTTCTCCAGAGCCCTGTATGTCAGGCTCTGGAAGAGGTTCTGGTTCCCAGGGTCCAGAGGCCAGCCTGACCCCAGAGGACACGCCTGCCCATGTCTGACTTGGCTGCACAGGGCAGCCACACAGGGCTAAAACACATCACCAGAGTATCCCCAAAACAAGTAAAAAGGCATCAGTACGTGTGTACATGCACAGGAGCTGTCTGCGACCCTCAATTAGATCCTGGTTTAAAAAGAAAAAAAGTTACAACAAACAGCCTTTTTAAAATGTTGGCTAGCTAGGCGTGGTGACTCATGCCTTTAATCCCAGCACTTTGGGAGGCTACGGTTGGCAGATCACCTGAGGTGGGGAGTTCGAGACCAACCTGACCAACATGGAGGATCCCCATCTCTACTAAAAATGCAAAATTAGCCAGGCATGGTGGCACATGCCTGTAATCCTAGCTAGTTGGGAGGCAGAGGCAGGAGAATTGCTTGAACCCCGGAAGTGGAGGTTGCAGTGAGCCGAGATAGTGCCATTGCACTCCGGCCTGGGCAACAAAAGCAAAACTTTGCCTCAAAACAAAAAAAAAGTTGGCTAACGGTCTTTGAACACCTGGAGAAAGATGAGATATTTAGATGATGTTGGGAATTTTTGTTCAATTTTCTAGTGGTGTCAGGGTGCTGTGGTTTTATATAGGCCAATCTTTTTTTTAGAAGATGTATGCTGAAGTTTTAAGAATAAAGTGTCTGATTCCTGCAACTACTTCCAAATGCTTCTGCAGACATAAATAGCTAGCTGGCTATGTGAAGCACATATGGTGAAAGGTTGTACCCATTGAGCTGGGTGCAAAAATGGCTGCATCTAGGTCATGGCATCTGAGCCATGGCTGCAGAATTCTGCACCATTCCTATGTGCCTGGAAATCACCTAATACAGTAATAGGGGTGGGGGGAGTTATGGCAAGGTAACCTGGGCAGGAGGGAGGAGGGTGGTGGCTTGTTTCAAGACCTGCCCAGGCGGGTACAAGGTAGGCTTACTGCTCCCTGCCCACCCAGAGCCCCCTCACCAGCCCAGTACCAACCTCAAGGCTGCGGATCTCCCCATGGCTGCTCGGCACAGTGAGATCTGCTCCCTGCCCACCCAGAGCCCCCTGCCCACCCAGAGCCCCCTCCCCAGCCCAGTACCAACCTCAAGGCTGCGGATCTCCCCATGGCTGCTCGGCACAGTGAGATCTGCTCCAGCATGTCCCGCAGTTCCTGGCTCTTGGTGCGCTTGCCCTGAATGATCTGATCCCGCTTTTCTTCCTCGTCGCGCCGCTGATTCTCTTTGAGCAGGGCCAGCCGTTCTCGCAGCTCCACTATGGACATCTCTCCTTCCAGGCCATAGCCGGGGATCTGTGGCCAGTGGGTGGTAGGGGAGGCCCCGAGCTGGGAGCTGCGCTGGGCCCTGATGCTTCCCACCGGGATCCTTCCCCTTGCCCACCTTCTCTCTGCTTGGACACTGCTTGGGAGACCCGCCCCCAGCCTCTCCGGCCTGGGCTCCCTCTGCAGTGCTACACCTTGTATGGGGCTGCACATCTCAGCTGGACTGAAGCCCCCACTGTGGCAAGTCCCAAATGGAGCTCATCACTATGTACCCAGCCAGGCTTTGGGACCCGAGGCAGACAGCCGTTTGCACTCCCCATGGCCTTGGGGCTGGGCCAGGCCCTGCAGCTGGCTCCCCATGCTCCTCGGAGGCCTGGGCCCTCACCATGCCTTCTCACACGGGCTTCCAGCAGGCCCTCCTCAGCCTCCTGCTCCAACCAGCCTCCATCCACCCTTTGAACGCCTGCATTCTCCCTACACTACCCTTCCACCCCAGCCCTCCCTCTGCAGGCAGCTCCTAAGTCGTCTCCACGAAGTCCACCTTGGCCACCCCTAGGGGTTACAGAGGATTACATGTCTGCCTCACCAGCAGGACTGTGAACTCTTGGGGCTGACCCAGGCCCATGGCACGTGAGTCATGGAGGGTGGCAGGCCAGGTTTAGGTGGTACAAGACCCACTGTGGCGCTGGTGGGACCCCAGACACAGCATCCCACGGGAGTGCCAGCACGGAGGCTGCCAGAGGCACGGGCCCCACCCAGGACAGTGTCCTCACCTGGGTCAGGTCCACAAGCTTGCCCTTGCGCATGGGCTGTGTCTCGAGTGCGCGCAGCTGGGAGATGAGTTCACAGCGGCGCCGCTGCTCCTCCTGGGCCTCCTGTGCCCTGCGCTGCAGCAACCCCCGGCTTGCTTCAATCACCTCCTGAACTTGGGGGCCAAGCCAGGAGCTGAGGTGGCAGGGCAGGCACTGGACAGGGAGGCACCTCTCCGGGTTCCCCAGCCAGGCCTCTGGCCTCAATGTGGCCCTTAAGGGGCCCCTGACCCTCGCCACCCACAGTAGCTCACTCAGGAAAGGGTGGCAGCCCAGGCCCCAAGTGGGGAAGGGTGGGACAGGGCCTGTGGCACCTGGCTCCCGACTACCTGTCTGCCGCCGGCCCTTCACAAGCTTCGCCTGAGCTGCCTTGACGTTCTTCTGTCCCTCTATGACCTGCTCCACCAGCTCCTTCCTGGACCTGTCCTCCCAGAGCTGTCTCTCGGCATGCTGCAGCATCAGCTTGGCCATCTGCTCAGAGAGTGGACCTGCCACAGTGAGGGGGCTGCGCTGGCTTCCCTACCTAGACACGCCGCGGCCCGGGGCGCAGCATGAGGTCTGAGGGTGGACCTAGTCCCTGCCCCTGAACCACCCCAGAGCCCAGGTCTAAGCTGGTTCACTCCTGGCTGTGCCCTGGAGGTCGGGTCTGTGGGGAGCTTCCACCTCACACCCTCTCCCTGCCTCCCACATGGTCCTGGGGGTGCCTTCCCGTCATCTGAAGCCGTCCAGTTTGTGGTACTTTGTTGTGGTGGCCTTAGAGACCCAGTGCACATGGCAACATGAGCTGTTCACAGGGGAGGGAACCCAGGGAAGGGGGGATATGGAACATCCGTATTCTCTTTACAGCTTTTCTGTCCATTTAAAAATTGTTCTGAAATGTAAACATTACTTTAAAAGTTTCTATGAAAACTTGGTAATATGTTGGAGAAATGCCTGTGTGGAAATAGGTGAAAAAAGTGAGCACCAAAAAATAGCAGGAGTCCCGTATCAGTCAAGCAGACAATGAGCAGAGAGAAAAAAGAGGCAGGTCTGAACCTCCACCCCAGCCACAGCGCCAGGGGCCGTGGCACGCACCGCCCTCCACCCCAGCCACAACACTAGGGGCCGTGGCACGGAGACCGTTGGGTGCCTCAGGCTGGGAGTACGGAAGAGGGCGGCAGCACCTCCTGGCTCTTTGGGATGTGGAATCAGGAAGGCAGCAACAGGCCCCAGAGAAGGCTCCCGCTTGGGAGTAAGACACGCAGGATGTTAAGTTCTGCCTCTGCCACCCTGGCAGCTCCCAGGCCGTGGAGAGCTTTCGGGCCTCTCTGGATTTCGGTTTCTTTGCTGGGAAGTGAAGATGGCCACGCCTACCTCCACAGGTGCTCTGGGTGCAGGGCCAGCATCCAGCCAGGGCTCAGGAAAGGGTGTCCCCATCAGCCACAGCACCAGCCTCAGCACGGAACAGGAAGTCGGCAGAGAGTGGAATGAGCAGGGGAAGAAGGAAAACAGGCCCACAGGCCAGAGCGAGGACAGGGATCGGTGTTTGGCAAGCGATGTGTGTGGCCACCTGGGTTGGCTCAAAGTAACGCTAGGGTTTCCAGGCAGGCAGCAGCAGAGCAGCCCATGCATAGCCCGAGTACAGGGTCACATGCCATGCTGGGACACCAACCTTGGACCCACGGTCTTGCCCGCTGTCACTCAGGGGCGAGGGGCAGCTACATGCATCCTTGGGCCTGCTGTGGAGGTCTCACCAGGTTCCCCACAAATTTCCCCTCCTTCCTGCCACAGAGCATGGTTCACCAAGCTCAAGCTCTTAGTTACCTGCGCTGGCACCTTCAAGATTAAAAGGAAGGTGGATCACATGGAACGGCATTTATGTGACCAGAATCAAGTGCGGAAGTGATGCAAGTGGTGCTTAAACAATCTGCCCTAATACCCTAGGGCCAGGGGCCGCAGCCCGCACTCGTAGTCCCAGCACATCGGGAGGCTGAGGTGGGAGGGTCGCTTGAGCCGGGAGCTGGAGACCAACAGTGAGACCCTGTCTCACAAAACATACAAAACTAGCCAGGCCTGGTGGCTCATGCCTGTGGTCCCAGCTACTCAGGACGCTGAGGTGGGAGGGTCGCTTGAGCCCAGGAGGATGAGGTTGCAGTGAGCCATGATCGTACACTGCACTCCAGCCTGGGTGACAGAGCAAGACCCTAGCTCAAAAAAAAAAGTTTTTCAAAGCGTGATTACCCATGACAACCGAAGCAGGAAATGTCATTCCTCACCCAGGGGGCTTAGTGTTGGTACTGCCACAGCTATTCTGTGTGATTAATTTAGTTAATTTCACAGCGATAACACATTAAAAAACAAGTTATTATGTGAATTTCTTTTTTTTGAGATGAAGTCTGGCTCTGTCACGCAGGCTGGAGTACAGTGGTGTGATGTCAGCGCACCGTAACCTCCACTTCCCACTTTCCAGCGATTCTCCTGCCTCAGCCTCCCAAGTAGCTGGGATTACAGGTGTCTGACCCCACGCCCAGCTACTTTTTTGTATTTTTAGTAGAGGCAGGGTTTCGCTATGTTGGCCAGGCTGGTCTTGAACTTCTGACCTCAGGTGATCCACCTACCTTGGCCTCACAAAGTGCTGGGATTACAGGTGTAAGCCACCACACCCAGTCACTTTGTTTTATTCAATATATCTAATTATTAGTATAATTCATCAAGTTATCATTATTATTTTAAGACAGGGTCTCACTCTGTCACCCAGGCTAGAGAGCTGCGGCAAGAACAGGGCTCACTGCAGCCTCAACCTCCTGAGCTCAAGCAATCCTCCCACCACAGCCTCCCAAGTAGCTGGGACCACAGGTGTGGGTCACCATGCCTAGCTGATTAAAAACATTTTTTGGGCCAGGCACGGTGGCTCACGCCTATAACCCCAGCACTTTGGGAGACTGAGGTGGGCGGATCACCTAAGGTTGGTAGTTCGGGACCAGCCTGACCAACATGGAGAAACCCCATCTGTACTAAAAATGCAAAATTACCCAGGGGTGGTGGCACATGCCTGTAATCCCAGCTACTCAGGAGGCTGAGGCAGGAGAACAACTTGAACCCAGGAGGTGGAGGTTACAGTGAGCTGAGATTACGCATTGCACTCCAGCCTGGGCAACAAGAACAACACTCAGTCTCAAAACAAAAACTTTTTTTTGTAGACACGAGGTCTCACTATGTTGTTCAGGCTTGTCTTAAACTCCGGGTTCAAGTGATTTACCTGCCTTGACCTCCCAAAGTGCTGGGATTACAGGTGTAAGCCACCGCACCCAGCCATAATTTAAAAATATATCGTATTCCAGCCCCATTGCTAGAGTACCTTTTTTTTTTCATTTTTTTCAAAGCTACTGCAAATCAAGCTAGACTACCTTAAAACTGGTCACTGTAGGCCAGGCATGGCAGCTGAATGCCTATAATTCCAGCACTTTGGGAGGCCGAGGCGGGTGGATCACTTGAGGCCAGGAGTTCGAGATCAGCCTGGCCAACGTGGCAAAACCCCGTCTTCAAAACAAAAACAAAAAAAGCCTGGTAACCATTGGAATAAAACCAGAAAAGCACTCAGATAGGGAACTCAGTGCTGGCTTCTGTGAGGCGCAGATTCCTTAGAGAATAACTGAGTCTGTGTCCTAAGCAGAGAACATTCAGGTAGGCCCCAAACATCTCTCCTCTCAATGGAAAAGATGCTCCGAAAGGCTCTAGAGCGGTGCCCAAAGGTCAGAGGAGGAGATGAAAGGGTGCCCATGAGTCGGGTTGTGGTAACAACCTCAATCGGAAACAAAAGTTAAGTTCATCAAAATACATAAAGGCAGCCGGGCACAGTGGCTCATGCCGATAATCCCAGCACTTTGGGAGGCTGAGGCAGGATCACAAGGTCAGGAGATGATCGAGACCATCCTGGCCGACATGATGAAACCCTGTCTCTACTCAAATACAAAAAATTAGCCGGGTATGGTGGCGTGCACCTCTAGTCCCGGCTACTTGGGAGGCTGAGGTGGGCGAATCACTTGGACCCAGGAGGTGGAGATTGCAGTGAGCCGAGATCACACCACTGCACTCCAGTCTGGGCGGCAGAGTGAGACTCTATCTCAAAAAAAAAAAAAAAAAAGCAAAAAAAAAAAAACACATGAAGGCAGTAAAAGCAACCAGTCCAATATGAACTGCATAAGAAAAACTAAAATTCTTTTTAGTGTCGGGAGCCATGACTCACGCCTATAATCCTAGCACTTTGGGAGGCCAAGGCAGGTGGATCACCTGATGTTGGGAGTTCGAGACCAGCCTAGAGAAACCCTGTCTCTACTAAAAATACAAAAAATTAGCTGGGTGTGGTGGCGTATGCCTGGAATCCCAGCTACTGGCAAGGCTGAGGCAGGAGAATTGCTTGAACCTGCGAGGCGGAGGTTGCAGTGAGCCAAGATCGTGCCATTGCACTCCAGCCTGGGCACAAGAGGGAAACTCCATCTCAAAAAAAAAAAAAAAAAAGAAAAACTAAAATTCTTTTTCCTTCAAGTATTTAGTGCCACCTAACCTAGTTAAGTTAGTGAGAACAAATATTAGTCACGTGAATGTGCGCAGCTGGACATCCTGAAACCAGGAGAGAAGCCTCAGAATCCCTCCATAACCTGGTGTGAGAAGAGCGGCATTTTCTTTTTTTTTTTTCTTTGAGACAGAATCTCACTCTGTCACCCAGGCTGGAGTGCAGTGGCATGATCTTGGCTCACTGCAACCTTCACCTCCCAGGTTCAAGCAATTCTTGTGCTTCAGCCTCCCAAGTAGCTGGGATTACAGGTGCACACCACCACACCTGGCTAATTTTTTTTTTTTTTTTTTTAGTAGAGACAGGGTTTTACCATGTTGGCCAGAGGCTGGTCTCGAACGCCTGACCTCAGGTGATCCACCTGCCTCAGCGTCCCAAAGTGCTGGGATTACAGGCATGAACCACCACACCCAGCCAAGAATGGTATTTTCTAACTCCAAACACAACACAAGAAAAGACAGTTAAATTTGAAGACATAAAAGGAATATTTGCATGGCAAACACACATCATAAACCTCATATACAAAGTCAAATGACAAACTGGAAAAAAAGCCGTCTGCAACAAGATATTAGAAAGGATATTTCCCCTAACATATAAAGGACATTAGGCTGGGCACAGAGGCACATGCCTGTAATCCCAGCACTTTGAAAGACTGAGGCAGGTGAACCACTTGAGTTCGGGAGTTAGAGATCAGCCTGGGCAACACGGCAAACCATATTTCTACTAAAGAGGTGGTGCAAGCCGGTAATGCTGGCTGCTGGGGGGGCTGAGGTGGGAGGATGCTTTGAGCCTGGGAGGCAGAGGTTGCAATGAGCTGAGATCATGCCAATGTACTCCAACCTGGGTGACAGAGTGAGACCCTGTCTCAAAAAAAAATTGTGACTGAGCATGGTGGCTCACACCTGTAATCCCAGCACTTTGGGCGGCCAAGGTGGGTGGATCACTTGAGGTCAGGAGTTCAAGGCCAGCCTGGCCAACATGGTGAAACCTTGTGTTTACTAAAAATACAAAATTAGGGCCGGGCGCAGTGGCTCACACCTATAATCCCAGCACTTTGGGAGGCTGAGGCGGGTGGATCACGAGGTCAAGAGATCAAGACCATCCTGGTCAACATGGTGAAATCCCATCTCTACCAAAAATACAAAAATTAGCTGGGCATGGTGCTGCATGCCTGTAGTCCCAGCTACTCAGGAGGCTGAGGCAGCAGAATTGCTTGAACCCAGGGGGCGGAGGTTGTGGTGAGCCGTGATTGCGCCATTGCACTCCAGCCTGGGTAACAAGAGCAAAACTCCGTCTCAAAATAAATAAATAAAAATACAAAATTAGCCAGGCATGGTGGCACCCATCTGTAGTCCTAGCTACTCAGGAGGCTGTGGTGGAATAACCACCTGAACCTGGGAGACGGAGGTTGCACTGAGCTGAGATCGTGCCATTGCACTCCAGTCTGGGAAACAGAGTGAGACTCTGTCAATAAAAAAAAAAAAAAAAGAAAGAAAAAACAACAAAAAAGAAAAATTGCTAAGAGAGTAGATTGTAAGTGTTCTCAACAGAAATAAATATGAGCGACAATGCACATCTTAATTAGCTTGATTTAGCCACTCTACAATGTATTTGTATTTCAAAACATCATGTTAGACCAGACACTGTGGCTCACACCTGTAATCCCAGCACTTTGGGAGGCCGAGACAGGTGGATCACTTGAGGTGAGGAGTTCAAAACCATCCTGGTCAACATGGTGAAATCCTGTCTCTACCAAAAATACAAAAATTAGCTGGACGTGGTGGCGAATGGCTGTAGTCCCAGCTACTCAGGAGGCTGAGGCAGGAGAATGGCTTGAACCTGGGAGGCAGAGGTTGCAGTGAGCTGAGATCGCACCACTGGACTCCAGCCTGGGCAACAGAGTGAGAGTCTATCTTAAAAAAACAAAGGCCGGGTGTGGTGGCTCACACCTGTAATCCAAGCACTTTGGAGGCCAAGGCGGGTGGATCACCTGAGGTCAGGAGTTCAAGACCAGCCTGACCAACATGGTGAAAGCCTGTCTTTATATATATATATATATATATATATATATAAAAGCATGAAAAATAACAACAGCAAAACATGTTATATATCATAAATATATTCAGTTACATTTGTCAAGTTAAATAAAGAACCCAAAAAAAGGAAATGAAGTTGTCAAAAATGCAATAGAAAATGGACAAAAGACATGAACAGACAGTTCACAGAAATAGACACAGAAATGGCACTTTTGCTCAAATTCACAGATAAATAAATGAGACACAGATCGGAACTATACCAAGATACTATCTGTCACCCAAGAAATTGGCACAAATTCACGAATTCAGTGCGGCACTCTCTGGCTGGGTGTGGGGATCAGAGCCTTCCCACACTTTGTGGGCGTGAAGATGGTAAAGGTACCAGGGAGATGACTGGCCATCTGCAGTGAAACCACACGCCCCAAACGGCAGCCACTCCTACCTATCCAGTTACTCTTTGGTGTGACATCTGAAAATGGAAGGCACCTGGAAAATCCACCTCTGCAAAGGGGAAAACCTCGCACATCATTCTTTGCAGATAAAGCGAGGAGTGACCTTTTATGTAACAAAAAAGGGAAGGAAAGTTTTATTTGTGTTATTTGCTTAGAAAGAAAGACAAGAAAGGTCATCCAGAAATTAATGAAAAGAAGGACCTATAATTTCCACCCTGAGAAGGGAAGGTGGAAACGGGTTACAGACCTACAAGGGCTGAGACTTCTCTGAGTCTGCCTTTGCATATTGTTTGGACTTCATTTGTTTTTCTTTTTGAGACAGTTTTGCTCTGTCGCCCAGGATGGAGTGCAGTGGCGTGATCATGGCTCACTGCAGCCTCGAGCTTCTGGGCTCGAGCAGTCCTCCCACCTCTGCCTCCTGAGTAGCTGGGACTACAGGCACATGCCACCACGCCCAGCTAAGTTTTGTATTTTTCATAGAGACAGGATTTTGCTATGTTGCCCAGGCTGATCTTGAACTCCTAGGCTAAAGTGATCTTCTGGCCTTGACCTCCTAAAGTGCTGGGATTACAAGTGTCAGCCACAGTGCCTGTCCTGGCGTCCCTATTTTTATAAAAACGAAGGAAAAGGCAAACCTTAAAATTGGATAGAGACACAGATGAAACCATCAAAAGAAGCGATCAGAGTGACCTCTGAGCAAGCCCCTGCCCGCAGCAGGATACGTCCCAGGAGAGAGAGTACAGGCCGGCCTCCTGGGGCTGAGGCTCCCCGATGGTTTGGGCCACTGGGAGGCCCACTGGAAGGAGCAGGCATTCTTGGGGACCACAGGCTGAGAGTGCCCACCTAGGCAGTGTGTCCTTTGAGGAGGAGGAGGAGCTGGGACCGATACATCAGTAGCTCCCACAGGGGCGCTGTGGACACTCGGCTCCTCTGCCGGCCCCACCCTGCAGCTGCCGGTGGGCACACATTAGCTGGCTGCCCCATGGCCAGCAGCCCTGCATGGCACCCACCTGCTCCTTCTGCTGCTCCGCCCTCTGCTTGTTCTCCTGCATGAGGTTCTGCCGGGCCAGGACGGCCTCCTCGTGGCTGAGCTTCCCCTGCAGCCGCCGGCACTCGCCCACGGCCAGCTGCTCCTCCCGGTCCTTTGCCTGCATCTTCTTCTGCCACTCGAGGAACTCAGAGAAGTCCCCAGCCCCGTCCACAAGCTTATCAACCCTGGGCAAAGAGGGACAGAAGCACAGCTTGGGGCTCCTCCCATGATGGAGGCTACTGGGTGGCCACAGGTTCCCTGGGGGACAGTGGCCGTGCAGGTGTGGGCTTATACTCCTGACACCCAGTTGTGTGGCCTGCCCTTACTCCTACCCCCAACCTGCCATCCACCCATCCCCTGGTTCCCCCTTCCTGCGCGTCCACCCATCAGCCCCATCTACACACCCCTCCCTTCATCCACTTGTCTGCCCTCACTCTGTCCAACTGTCTGTCCATCCACCAACCCCGTGTCCGTCATCTGTCCATCCATCAACCTTCTGTCCTCCTCTGGCCTGGCCACCCTCCCTCTGTGTCCCCTCTGTGTGTCTACTCCTCCATCTGGTCAGCCGCCCATGCTCCCCCCACAGCGTGAGTTGCAGACAAGGAAAGATGCGACCACACTGTGTGGGGTAAGCACAGGTAGTCTAGGAGATGGGGCCTTCGGGAAGGGGTCCAGGGAAGAGGTAACCCCAAGGGAGGTTTGGGGTGGTCGGCCTTTGCTAAGTCCCTCCACCCCCATTAACGCCCCTCACTGAGCCCAGATGATCTTTGTAAGGTGCACCTGTGGCCCTGGCATCATCCTGCTTGCCGCCCCTGCTGTGCAGGACCATAGCCTGTTGTGACCCCGAGCCCCCCTGCCCCTCTTCTGGGCCTTTGCTCCCAAGGATGATGCTGTGGAACGCAGGTGGGGGCTGCCACCCTTTACCTCTGCAGCTCTTGCTCCACCTGGCGCTGGTACAAGGCCCCTTCTCGCAGGATAGCTGTGGTGTTCAGCTTGACCAGGACGTTGTCAGGCTGCGGGAGTGGGGACTGGCTGTGGTGGAGGATTGAGCGGACCCTTGGGAGCAGCCAGGGCTCCTCCTGCCCTTGTGCCCTTCACACCTGCCCCTGGCAGGGTGCTTTCCTCTCCCCCAGGGTGTGACCATCCTTAGGCTCTGGGTCCCCAGCTCAGGCCATCTGAGCCTCTAGGGGCAGATAAGGTGTGCAGGGGTGGGTGCCCAGGGAGAGGGGCTTGACCATCCAGGAGCCCTCCTCACCCTATAGAAGGTCAGCTTTGGAGTCTTTCGGATTCGGGGTGGGAACGGAAGCCGAAGCTGCTGCTTGGAGCCCTGCAGGAGTCAGGGCAGAGCTGGCCGCCTGGCACCTGTGCCTGCTGGATACCCCCAAACACACTCCAGGTAGATGCCAGCCCAGCCCCACGGGGAGGCCTGGCTCCCTCCCCTTCCTCCTCACTCCAGCTGCCTATCCCTGTGACCACCTAGCTCAGCATCTGTCTTCCAATGCCCTGCAAGCTTTGCTGGGGTTCCCCCCAGGAAAGGGTGGCCATCTCTCTGAGCCACTTCCTCCCAGCACCAGGGAGGATGCTGGGCCTGGGAACAGTGGCTCCCAGTCAGAGCAGCCTGGCCTCAGGCTCAGTGACCCTCTCGTCAGCCACCCCAGAGCTGGGGTCTGGCTGGCCCCCAGGGCCTCTCTCTGAGCCTGTCTGCTCCCAGCCCAGCCTCCAGCTGCTTTGCCAGCACACCCCAGGGTGGGCACCGCAAGCTGCAGTGAGGGTTGTGGATGCAAAGGGCACCCCTCTGAGCGCTCAGCCATTGAGGCCCCACCACACGCACATGTGGGCTGTGCACCCTGGGCATGCCCTGGAAGTGGGACCACTGCCACCCAGCGAGGCCGTGCTCCTGTCCTCGTTGCTTTTCTTTTTCTTTGTTGGCAAACATACCTGGGTTGGTTTTTTCCTTAGAGAGGCATGCAATGCTCGTCACGGAACGTCTGGAGACAGCCAGGGCCAGCGCCTGCAGGTGCTTTCCCATTAGCTTCCTCCCAGGGGACTTGGGTGCGCATCTACACCCGCCCGCATAGGAGCCACCCCGAAGTGGGCTCGAGGCCCACTTTCCCAGTGTTACTGGGAATCCATCCTGCCCTGGCCTTCAGCGGTAGAAGGCTACGTAAGTGGCCACTGCGATGGCGTTGGGAGGAACTCTCTGATGACTTGAGGATATGCCACCTGGATGGCGCATCATGAGAGAGCTGGGCGGTACCTGCACGGGCTCCCTGCAGGACCTGGGCATGGCGCAGCGCAGTTCCTCAACGTTCGCCCTCAGCAGCAGCTCCTGCCATAGCAACACAGCAGCTCCAGTCCCACCAGCCACTGTCCAGTGCCCTCCAGGCCATGGGAGGATGAGCTCCCAGCCAGCTTCTGCCTCCTCCTGCCTCCTGCTGCCTCCTCCTCCCTCGCCCCTGCCCCACCTTCCCTTCACACATCCCCTACATGGGGTTTCTAGGAAGGCGGGGTCGCACACAGCTCACCTCGGCCTTCCGGCGGTTGTACCTCTTGACTGTCTCCAGCTGCTGCTGCTCCTTGGGTGTCCGGTAGGTGCTCTGGGGAACCTGTTGAAGTGGTGGGAGAAGAGCCTGCGGTCAGCAGCGGCGATTGGGAGGGGCCGAGAAACACCAGGGCCGACAGCTGGGTGGATGTGGGTGAAGGGGAGGGTGGTGGCAGCCTGCACTGGCGGAGAAACAGGGCTGGAGCTAATACCACTGGGTGCTGGTGGGTCAGCGCTGGGCATGAAGGGAAGGAGGTCAGAAGGGTCATTGGCCTGGGGTCTGGAGCTTGGCCTGGGATGGAGTGGGTGGGGTAACCTGAGCTGGCAGTACTGAGGGTGCACCGTCGGCCAGCATGGGATGGCCAGGGTGGGCAGGGGCAAGAGGGAGAGGCAGCCAGCTCCCTTGGCACTGGGGGACAGGCAGAAGAGGGCTGCCTGGGCAGGAGAGGCTGGGAGACTATCACAGACCCCTGCAAAGTGAGCTGTTGGGAGGGGGCGCTGCAGAGGCCAGGCTGGCTGGACCCCATCCCTGAGTCCAGTCACAGGAGGCTTCCATAACGTGGCCGGAGCTGTGTCCGTGGTGGTGGTGGGGGGGCGGCGCCAGCCTACATATCCCGAGCTCCAGACGGCTGCATCTACCCAACTCGGTGCCTCCTCCCCTGCACATCTCACAGTCATGAAATCACCTAGTCCAAACCCTCATCTTCCTCAAACCAGCTCTTCCTCAGCCTCGCTGAGCACAGCTACCATCCAGTCCTCACCCATGCCTCAGAGTCCTCCTCACCTCTGTCTCTCACACCCACATCCACCTCCCGTCCCGCGCTCCTGCTTCAGGACGTCTCCGCAGACTGCCTCTCCCGCCCGCCTTGGCCACGGCAGGTGGAGGGACCCCGTGTTGGCGGCAGCCTGCCTCAGTGTGTTCTCCGGTGTCTGTGTGAACAGACCGGTACCCCACCTTCCCCCTTGCCTGCCTCACTCCACTGCAGCCCCTCCTGGCTGTCCTCAAACACTTGAGAGAGGGTCTTTGCATGTGCCTTGCATCCTACCTGGAATGCTCTTCCCTGAGACAACCCAAGGCTTACGTGCTCACTTCTGGTTTTTCAGTCCATGGCATTTCTCAGGAGGCCCTTTCTGGCCTCACAATCCAGAATCACAACCACTCTAACACTTCTTATCTCCTTTGTCTGCATTTTAAATCACCAACTAATGCAACATATGTTTTACTTCTCCTGATTTTGTCTGCGTCCCCCACTGAAGTGCATGCTTCGTGAGGTCACAGTGCCGGGTATACACTAGGCACGCTGTAACTATCTGTTGAATGAATGAATGAGTGAATTACAGTGGGCCCTCAACCCTGAAGGGGAAGGATGTCTTAGGCATGTGGCAGGGCAAGGAAGGTAGAGGATAGTTTCAGCACAGCCACCTTGTGGATACAGAATAGGTACATGTCCACCAACATCTCACAGATTGTACTGAGAGGGACAGAGCTATAGAGCATGGGAGGGTACGGTGAGGGCCCAGGCAGGGGCTGTGCCAGGGAGGGAGGGAGGGAGAGAGAGACAGACAGAAAAGCTGGCAGGATGACTTGAGACAAACACACTGAGTCCTGAGGAGATGGAGTCAGAAACACTGAAGGTTATAGAGATGGGGCAGCTGTGGGGTTGCTCAACAACAAGGTCTCTGATCATTCATCCATCATCCACATCCATCCATGTTATCATCTATCCATCCACCCATTCACCCACCCATCCATCCATCCGTCCATCTGTCCATCCATCCATCTATCCATCCCTCTGATCATCCATCTATAAATCCATCCATCACCCACCCATTCATTTACTTACCCACTCATTCGTCTACTCACCCATGTGATCATCCATCTATCCATCCATAAACTCATCTAATCATCTGTCCATCCATCCACCTACCCACCCATCCATTCATTCACCTACCCACTCATCTATTCATCCATCTAATCACCCATTTATCCATTTGATCATCTATCCATCCATCTGATCATCCATCCATCCACTCACCCACCCATCCAACCATTTGATCATTCATCCAATCATCCATCCACCTATCTATTCATCCCTCCATCTATCCATCCCTTTGATCATCCATCTATCTATCCATCCATCCATCCATCCACCCACCCACCCATTCATTTACTCACCCACTCATTCAGCTACCCATGTTATCATCCATCTATCCATCCATAAACTCATCTAATCATCTGTCCATCCACCCACCCACCCACCTATCCATTCATTCACCTACCCACTCATCTACTCATCCATCTAATCAACCATTTATCCATTTGATCTCTATCCATCCATCTGATCATCCATCCACTCACCCACCCATCCAAGCATTTGATCATCCATCCAGTCATCCATCCAATCACCCAGTCATCCATTCATCCATCATCCATCCATCCATCCATCCACCCACCCATCCACCCATTCACTTATTCTTCCATGCATACATGCATCCATCCATTCCTTTATCCTTCCATGCATCCATCCACCCATCCATTCATCCACCCATCCTCTTATCCATCCATCCACCCACTCATTGATTCATTCGCTCACCCATCTACCTACTCGCCAATCTGTTCATCAGTCTAGTCATCTGATCATCTATCCATCCATCCATTCACCCATCTGTCATCCATACATCCATCTGATCTCCATCCATCCACTCATCCATCCTTTCATCTGACTATCCATCTATCAACTTATCCTTCTATCCAACCAACCATCCATCCATCCACCAATCCACCCATCCATCCATTCACCCACCCATCTATCTACTCATTCATCTGGTCGTCCATCTACCTGATCATCTCTTCATCCATCTGACATCCATCCACCTACCTACCCACGTAACCATCTATCCATTTGATTATCCATCCACCCATCCATTCATCCAATCATCCATCTATCCATTCACCCATCCAATTATCCATCCATCCATCTAATCCATTCATTTACCCGCCCATCCAGCTACTATCCATCTGATCATCCATCCATCCAACAGGTATTTACTGAGGATCTTCTTTGAGCCATAACTAGGCTGCTAGGCATTGAGAATGTGGGACAATTAATGGCCAGGTGCTGTGGCTCATGCCTGTAATCCCAGCACTTTGGGAGGCCAAAGCTAGCAGATCACCTGAGGTCTGGAGTTTGAGACCAGCCTGGCCAACTGGTCTCAACAGAGATGACAAAACCCCATCTCTACTAAAAATACAAAAATTAGCCAGGCATGGTGGCCAGCACCTGTAATCCCAGCTACTTGGGAGGCTGAGGCAGGAGAATCACTTGAACCCGGGAAGCGGAGGTTGCAGTGAGCCAAGATCGCACCACAGCACTCCAGCCTGGGTAACAGAGCAAGACTCTGTTTCAAAATAATAACAATAAAAATAAAATAAATAAAATGTAAAAAAAAGAGAATATGGGACAAATAAGATGGACGACAGCTAGTGGAGGAGGCAGACAGGCCCACAAATTACTAAACAGTTCTGTGGAGAAAAGAAGCCAGGATCAGTGAGAAGGAAACTAAGCGAAAGATCCGATATATTTGAGGGCTTCATGAAAAGCCTCTCTGGGAAGAGGGATTTTACTGAGACTGGAAGGATGGTGGGAGTGGGGCAGGACTCTGGGGCCTGCCAGCACCGTCCCCTCCCTTCACATGCAGTCCTGGGTCCTGCTGGGGAAACACATTGGTTCTGGGAAGCTCAGTCCATTGCTGGTGCTTGGGGTAGAGCCCATGACCAGTCAGGACATCGTATTCCTGATCTCAGGCATGAGACCTAGGCTGGTCCAGTCAGACTTTTCCAAAGAATTATTGGCCCTGGGTGTCCTCTCATGCCCTGGATGGTGTAGGTGGTGGCAAATGAGGATATTTTGCTGCCACCAGCGAAGTTAGCCCACAAATGAAATAGAAGACTAGGGCAGAGAGAATCACAGGGAAGCAGAGCTGGAAGCCTGGTCATGTTGTGCCTGAAGCCTGTCCTACGTCGCTCGTGAGAGTCAGCCAATGCTCTGTTGTCTAAGCCAACTTGAGCTTCGTTTTTCTCATGTTATTGCAACACAAAGCATCCTGAGTGACGAGCGGGCAGTGCTGAGAGACAGAAAGAGAGAGGAAGAGGCTCTAGGCCTTCCCAAAGAGTGTGCTGTCATCTAAATGTCATTCAATGGGGAGGGGGTGTTGCATTATGCCAGGGTTAAAAGTGGGCTCCAAGCTCCAACTCTAGGCAGGTCTGAGCCCCATGGCCTGACAGCTCCACTCAACACCTGCTTATAGAACCACAGTGCGTGGAGTGTGGGAACCCGCTGGGTAGGCTCTGGGTCAGCTGGGCTTCTTCTCTCTTTGTGGGGAGTGGGGGTGGGGTGAGGTGGGGTCATTTAACGTTCTTGGTCTGGTCCAGTGCACCCTCAGTCCTGGGGGGAGCCCAGTCCCCCACAGGCCTACACAGTCCACCCTGTCAGCCTGGCCACCCTGATGCCCACAAGCTGGTACCCGCTGAGAGTGCCCACACTCACTGGTCTCGGCTTGGCCACAACCGGGACTGGCTCGGGTGCTGGAATGGTGCGAGGCTTGGGGGCAGTCAGGTTGAATTCCTTGGGCTCTGTGACCTTGGCCTTTGTCTTCTTTAAAGGAGAGGATTGACTGGCAGACACACCCTCCAGGTGATTGATGAGCTCCTGAACCTCTGGTTGCCATCTTGAAGGCAAAAGTGGAAAAGCCTCTTATGTTACTTCCTAAGCTGGTCGACGAGGCGATGGCCGTTGGGATCCGAAGGCTCTCCCCGAGCGACAGGGTCTGCCTGGATGTGGAGGTGACAGTAGGGTGGGCGGCCTCTCTGCACAAAGTGCCTTCTACTTGTGGGCACACACACTGTCAACCACACCCCTGAAGCATATACAGACCCGGTCCCCTGACACAGATACAGGAAAACAGGCCCAGAGGCATGGGCTGCGGTGGTGAGTGGGGAGCTGGGAGGACAGGGGCAGCCCTGCTGCAGGATCCAGGGCCTTTGAGGACAAGCAGCAGCCAGGACAGGAAGCTAATCTGGGCCGGAGCAGACGGCAGCCGGCAGTGGAGAAAGGAGCTTGACTGGAAAGGAACATTCTGGAGCAACACCGTTGGTGACTCCTGGAAATGGAGCTATGGAGTTGGGTGGGGCAGGAGCCCAGTTGTTCTTGGTACAGCCTCTGGGTGGGGGTGTGCTGGAGCAGGGATTTGGGAAGGGTCTTGCCAGGCTGCCCAAGGTCTGGGGCTCTGCCTTCCATGCCCCACACCCTGCGTGGGCACAGCCCACCATCACCAGTGTCCTCTTATGTGGGCTCCCTGGGGGCAGAGAGCATGGCTTGAAATAGCTCCTGCCTCACCTTAAGAGCCATGGTCCAGAGCCCACAGCAAGTGGGGTCTCAGGGGTCTCTCCAGGGCCAGGCCCCGGTGCTTCCAACTCGAGGCAGGTGGGGGAGAGGGGCAGGAGGTTTGCAATGGGGCTGGTCCTAGAGTGGGCAGAGGAAGCCCGAATGGGGGTGGAGGTGCAGGAAGAGGGGTTCACCGGAATCGGGCTGAGCACCTTCCCTGCCTGAGAGGCTCTCTGAGTTGGAAAGTGTGCAGCCAGCAGGCCCAGGTCACAGGGGCACCTGAGTGGGCAGAGAGTCCAGCCTGGGACACAAGGCAGGAGCAGGGCCGTTCCCACTCCTTCCTTTGGAGGTGTATCCTGACGGCCAGGGGTGGGCTGGCTAGGACTGGGGCCTTCCCTTGGTAAAGGAACATCTCCCGGTTCTCCTCTCCCCACAGGAAGGGCTTCCACCTCCCCTGGGCCTCCAGATCTCCCACATGCAGCGGGCAGCTAACTGGTCTGCTTGTCTAAAACCGTCTATCTGTCCTTAGGAAGACAAAGTGTCTCCCCCCAGTCCTATCAGAAGGGAAGAAACAAGGGGGCCCCTCAGCCGCACCTGGGCCCCCGCAGGCCTCTCCATGGAGCACAAGGCAGGGCCCTGGCGACTGTGCTGATCCATCTGCCTGGGGGTTCTGGTCTGTCCCAGAGTGTGCCCAGGCCTGCTGGGGAGGCAGGAGAAGGCAGCTACAGCAGCTTGAGGGCGGCAGGCCTGGGCACGGCCCTGGGCACCCTGAGATCCAGACCCAGGAAGCCACCAGGAACTGAGCCGCAGCTTCCTCAGCTCCCTCCACCCCCACCCCTACTCTGCACTCTCGGGATCCCCAGAGAGGCCCAGGACCCTGCCGGGTCCCCACAGGGTGAGAGCCACCGACACCACCCCGGTCAGTGGGTAGGTTCCAGGCAGAAGGGTCCGCCGCCACGTGTCAGCTGCCTGGCATGGAGGGAGCCCAGGCTGAAGCTTGGACAACTGGACCATTTCCATTCTTATCCCCCACCCTGAAGGCTGTCGAAGCAGCCCGGGGCTTGGGGCTTCTCCAAAGCTCTCGTCCCAACACAGAGTGATTACTGACCCTTACAGAGCTTCTGTGAGCAGGAAGGGGAATGTGGAGTGGGGTGCAGAGATGTCATTCAGGGGTCCCAGAGCCCCCCACCCAGCCCACCTCATCAGGGGGTCAATCCAGTTCTCCTTCACGTGGGCCGGCTCGTAGATGAGGCTCCACTCGTCCTTGATCCACGAGCACAGGTTCAGGGGGTTGAAGAAGAACCTGAGGAACTGGGGTGGAGGGGCTGTCAGGGGGCCGGAGCTGCGGGCCCACCCCTCGCCAGGCAAAGCCCCCAGCACCCGCAGTGAACTCCCTGTCCCAAGGTCACAGCACAGGGTGTGCTTCTGGGACTGTCCCCACAGAGCTCTCCTGGCGCTCTGATGCGAGGTGCTGGTGCTAGAGGCCTGGACCTTGGCTCCCCTTCCACCTGGGAGGGGCACAGCCCCTGGGGTCCCTGGGTGGGCTGCCGTGGTGGGGAGGGGGCGTGCCCGAGAAGCTGGCAGCACATCCTCACTTGGAGGGCCTTGTCCAGTCAACTTCTGGAAAGCTAGTGGAGGGGGAGCCGAGGGTCCAGGGCTCCAGGGCGACAGCCTGAGTGGTGGCGTCGGGGGCAGGGAGCTGACGTGGGAAGTGGCCTCAGAGGCCTGGGCTGAGCGGGGTTAGTGGTGGGTAGGGGGCAGTTTCTGTGTGCCGGCCAGGCAGGGACTGCAGTCACTGCTGTGCCTCCCCAGGGTGGCCACACTCCCCAGCAGCCTCCCCTCGGGCCTCCACACCCTTCTCCATGCAGAGGAAACCAGGGCTCCTTCTAGAGTCTTCTGCAGCTTCTTCCACCCCCTTCCCCACCCTTTCCCATTTCAGCTCTGTGCTGCTACTGCCTCCTGTCTCAAGGGGGCCATTTTCCCCACCCCAAGGCTGGGCACTGAGGCCTCAACTCGCCTTCCTCCCGGCCACCCCCATTTGGGTCCCCCAGGGCAGACTCAGCACTGGTCCCTGTGCCCACCCAATCCCTCCGTCTCCAAAGCCCGTCCTCACACTCAGTGTCTCAGCTGGGCTGCTCACCACCGCAGCCCTGTGGTGAGGCCCCATCCTCAGTGGGGTGTGGTGGGGCAGCCCTTCCGGGGAATCTGCTGGAGTTGGGGTGGGGCTTTGTGGTTGGTCTGAATCCCCCTCTGCCAGCTGGCAGGTTCCCTGGAGCCAGCAGGGCCATCGGCCCCTCCTCTCCCTGTGTCTCAGGGTCACTCCCTGCAGAGTGAGGAGGACCACCTCCTGGGGAGCCACACCGTGTCACTGCCCACCACGCCTGACCATGGTGGTAACAGCACCTGAAGTGTGGCAGGGGCTTTCCTGTCCCCAGTAGCTTGTTCCCCTTTGAGGCCCAGGCTGGCCTCTTCCTGAGCTCTGAGGCAGGAAGGACCCCAATGGGATGGCATCTCGAAGAGGGGCATGGAGGGTGGGATGCAGGAGGGAAGCCCCTGTAATGGGCCCCACCCACCCCTGCAGCCTCTTGGGGCAGTTCCCTGGGGGAGTTATGTGGGGTCTTCCCACGGACCTGCCTGAGAGGCTCTCTGAGTTGGCAAGTGTGCAGGTACCAGTGTAGGGGCACCACCCTGGCCCCAGGGATGCTGTGCAGCCAGTGCCCCAATTCCTAGGGAGTCCCTGCAGCAGCCCGAGTGCTCTCTCCTGGGCTCGTGCTTTGGGGCTCTGTGGGCCGAGGTTGGTCCAGGGCCAGCTCCGGCACTGTGGGACCCAGGGCAAGACAAAACTGGATCTTTGTTCAACTATTATTATTGTTATTATTTAGAGTTGGGGTTTTGCTCTGTCGTCTGGGCTAGAGTGCAGTGGCACAATCGCGGCTCACTGCAGCCTCAAAACTCCTGGGCTCAAGCGGGCCTCCTGCCTCAACCTCTCGAGTGGCTGGAATTACAGGTAAGCATTACCATGCCAGGCTAATGAAAACAATTTTTTGTAGAGATGGGGTTTTGCTATGTTGCCCAGGCTGCTCTCAACCTCCTAGGCCCACGAAGTCCTCCAGCTCTGGAGGCATGAGCCACCTTGCCTGGCCTGTTGGGCAGTTGTTAAGAATGTCAGGATAAGCTGGGCCCCACGGCTCATGCCTAAAATCCCAGCACTTTGAGAGGCCGAGGCGGGTGGATCACTTGAAGTCTGGAGCTCAAGACCAGCCTGGCCAACATGGTGAAACCCCATTTACTAAAATACAAAAATTAGCCAGGGTGACGGCATGTGCCTGTAGTCCCAGCTACGCGGGAGATTAAGGCAGGAGAATCACCTGAGCCGAGATCGTGCCACTGCACTCCAGCCTGGGCAACAGAGCGAGACCCCTGTCTGGACAAAAAAAAAAAAAAAAGGACCGTTAAGCTAGTAACAGAAGAGCAGAAACCAGTGCCCTCTGGCATCCAGGGATTGGTTTCTGGTTTCTGGGGAAGTTGGCCTGGCCCAGTCTCTAGGTATCTCCCAGTAAATGCCATCAGTTTTGCTTCTTTTTCATTGAAATGAAGGCCTTGCTTAGGATAACGGTATAAATGTGTATGTGTCACGAGTCACTTATGTTTCCACACAGATGAGAAACGTTCACTGATATGTACCGCGCCGGCCCAGGCTGCGCTCTCCCTCCTTCCACCTGTTCGGTGGCCCAGGTGCTGTGTGAGCCGCCAGTCCCAGGTCCTGGTGGCTGGTGGGCAGAGCCCACCGGGTCTCCCACTTCTCCAGGCTAGGAGCACCCCCTGAAGAGTTAGCTGCTTCCTTTTAGAGAGGCCTCGAAGGCCTGGGCCCTAGGGCTTTCCCACTCTCTTTTCCAGGGAGTGTCTCTCCTGGGCTGGAAACGGTCCCCTCCACGCAGATGAAGGACCAGCAAGCCAGTGGCTAAAAGCTCAGTCGGAGAATGGGCTACGCTACTGTCTCGCTGTGTGACTTACCCTCTCTGTGCCCCAGTTTCCTCAGCCCTGGGATGAATATCATTAGGAGCAACCTTGCTGGGTCATTGTAAGAATGAAGCAAGAACAGGCACCGTGAGTGTCCAGGGAAGCCTGGCACTCCATGGGAATGGGCAGTAGCTGGCAGCGAGCAGCAGGCCCAGGCCCAGACGTTTCAGTCCAGAGGCCTGGGTGTGCCAGCTTCCCACACAAGTGGCCCCAGGCAGACAGGGGCTTGGGTTCCTGCAGGCTCCCCCTCAGGGTGCCAATCCTCAGAACTGTCCCGAACCAATTCCCTCAGGCCCCTGAAGCTGCACAGGGAGGAGAGGCTGTTCCGGACCTGGGATTTGGTTATGAGTCAGAAGAGGCCCCCCAGGAATGGAATCCGATTCCCCCAGGACAAAAGCAGTACTTTCACCAACACTAGTCGATGTGCGTTGGCTTTTTATATTATATTATTATTGTTTGTGTTTTAGAGACAGGGTCTCGCTCTGTCACCCAGGCCCAAGTGCAGTGGTTCGATCATAGCTCACTGCAGCCTCAAACTCCTGGACTCAAGTGATCCTCCCTCTTCAGCCTCTGGAGCAAGTGGGACTACAGACGGGCGCCATCATGCCCGGCTTGCTCCTTCTTTGAAATGCAGAAGAAAACCACCAGAGTTCTTTCAGTAAAACCAACCAGAAAGGCGAAAGGTGGACAAGGATCAGATGCACCTCACTCGTGGGCCTGGTGGCCTTGTGGGCAGGTGGGGGGCTCACCTTGCACATCTTGTCCACGGGCTGGGACTTGATGATGTCACAGAATAGCTGGAAGCCGAGTTCCTCCAGCAGGAATGTGGCTAGGTAGCAGATCACTAGAAAACAGGACGCCTGTCAGAGACTAAGGGACATCACAGGGGTGCCAGGGGTGTGGCAGGACCGGAGCCCAGGGCCTCCACCTCATGGGGGCACACAGCCACAGGAAAACCCCCACCCCTCAGTGCCCTCCTAAAAGTGACAAGCAACACAAACCACATTGTCTTAGAGTGCAATGCATTTGTGGTTTCAAAGCACTTCACGCATAATCTCATCTGCTACGTTCTCAGAATTTGCAAAGGCTCCTCAGGTATGGACTTGTCAGTTCTCAGCAGCTGAACCGTCACCTCAAGCCAGCTGGAACGTGAATAACCCTGGGCCCGAGGTTCCCCGAAGGCAGGAACTGTAACAGGCCCCTAGCCTGCGGCCGAGACGCGCTGCCCTCCATAAGGCCCCAGCTGGGTGGCGAGGGGTCGGGCAGGAGCCTAGCTCAGGACTGGCACCAGCGCCTGGCTCAGTCTTCCAGCACCGTACAGTGCTTGCCCCTCCCCTCCCCGCCTAGACGGGGCAGCAAGACCCTGTAGAGGGTCCCAGGGCTGCCCCGACCTCTCCCCAGTGGGCCTGGCCACCCTGCTTGCAGTGGTCACCCCAGCCCATGAAAGCAGATGGCCATCAGAGGCTGTGGGGAGCCCTGGCAGTGACGGCTTTTGTATTTAACCCCCCACAGGACTGTTCAGACTGCCCAAAGGCCTCGGGCTCAGTGGTGACTAGGGGTCAGCCTGCGAACGGCTCTCATGTTGTCCAGGCTGCCTTTGGGAGCCGGATGCCCTAAACTGGGGTGGCAGAGCCAGGTCCGTCTGCCTTGAGGCATTAGTTTCCCGTCTTCGGGGTTCTGGTCCGCCCCATGAGGACCAAGTGAGGTGAGGGGCCAGAAGCCTCTGGGGCAAGGGCAGGAACGGGGACTGGCCCCACCTGCCCGCCACCTGCCTACCAGGCCTTTCTGCAGAGAGCCCAGTGAACCGTCTCTGTGGCCTGGCCCTGGGGACCAGCTGGGCACCTACCCTTGAAGCGGCTGTGGTCGACCCTCAGGTAGAGTCGGCCATCCTGCGCGCAGAAGGCATCCACCACGACAGTCAGCAGCTTCTGGTACTCGAGGCAGCCAGACAGAACCTCCCAAACAAAGCCCTGCTTCTGGGGGCTCAGAGCCTGGAAGAGAAGCAGCCGCTGGGGGCCCTGGCTGGGCCGGGAGGAGAGGGAGCCGTTCCGCATGCTGCTCAAGCCCCATGCGGCTGGGGAGTGGGCAAAGGCAGGGGTGGGGTGGCCCCAGGGCTGGGAAGGGCCCATTAGTGGGGCCTCCAGGGCAGCTAGCAGTGTCTCCCCACTCAGGGACTGGTCCCCAGATTCTCCTGGGTTGGTGAGGTGAGGTGGGGGCAAAGACAGAAATAAATGAAGATGAGGAGACAGTGCCAGGATGTGTGGTGCTGGCTGATGAGGACAGGCCGACGCTGGGGCAGGGCAGAGGGCACCAGGGCCAGTGGCCATGAGAGTCGTTTAATGCAGACAGAGCTTCGCTTCGGTCAGATGAAAAGCTTCTGCAGACGGAGGGCGGTGATGCATGGACTCTACACTGAGAAACGGCTGCCACGGTACACTTTACGTCACGCGTATTTTACCACAATAATATTTTCAAGTGAACTCATAAAAGTTTTCTTTTTATTTATTTATTTTTTAAAGACGGGGTTTCACCATGTTGGTCAGGCTGGTCTTGAACTCCTGACCTCAGGTGATCCGCCCTCCTTGGCCTCCAAAGTGCTTGGATTACAGGTGTGAGCCACTGCGCCCGGCTTTTTTTTTTTTTTTTCTTTTTTAAAGGTTTTTAAACGAATGAATAAAAAAATAACCAAAATGAATGATGCATGAGCAAGGAACATCTCTGAAGAGCTTGTCAAGCATGAGCTGAGCCAGGCATGGTGGTGCACGCCTGGAGTTCCAGGCTGGGCAACGGAGCGAGATTCTGTCTCAAAAAAAAGAAGGAATGTCGGCCAGGTGTGGTGGCTCACGCCTATGATCCCAGCCCTTTGGGAGGCTGAGGCGGGTGGATCGTGAAGTCAGGATTTGAGACCAGCCTTGCCAAGATGCTGAAACTCCCTCTCTGCTGAAAATACAAAACTTAGTTGGGTGTGGTGGTGGGTACCTGTAATCCCAGCTACTCGGGAGGCTGAGGCAGAGAAACGCTTGGGCCTGGGAGGCAGAGGTTGCAGTGAGCCAAGATTGTGCCACTGCACCCCAGCCTGGGTGACGGAGTGAGACTCCGTTTCAGAAAAAAAAAAAAAAAACAAAACCAAAGAAAGAAGAAGGAATCTCATTGTTGTATTCTGGAATTTTAAATTAGCAGTGAAAATCTCATATATTTTTTAAAAGTTTTTTCGACAGGGTCTCACTGTGTCGTCTAGGCTGGAATATAGCAGCAGAATCACTGCTCACTGCAGCCTGGCTACCAGGGCCCAGGCTGCCTTCCCACCTCAGCCTCCTGAGTCGCTGGGACTACAGGTGCACACCACCATGACTGGCTAATTTTTGAATTTTTTGTAAAGACTGGGTCTCACTGTATTCCTCAGGCTGGCCTCTAACTCCTCAAGCAGTCCTCCTGCCTCGGTCTCCCAACGTGTTGGGATTATGGGTGTGAGCCATTGTGTCCAGCCTCATGTGTTTTCTGAACACTTGTATTTTTTGTGAATTATTGTTTAGTAATTGATTTCACTTACAATGTGTTCTGTGATACTGTAAATTATTAAATATAATCGGTAACTTTTTTAACTGGGTTAACATTTTTCTTAATCGTTTTATAAGCTCTCTATATTAAGGCTATTGACATAGCCATAAATATTACAGTTATTTGTTGCGAGGTTTTTTGGTGGGGGGCGGGGCAGAGTCTTGCTCTGTCGCCCAGGCTGGAGTGCAGGGGCACAATCTCGGCTCACTGCAACCTCTGCCTCCCGAGTTCAAGCGATTCTCCTGCCTCAGCCTCCCGAGTAGCAGGGATTATAGGCGTGCGCCACCACCCCCAGCTAATTTTTTGGTATTTTTAGTAGAGACGGGACTTCACCATATTGGCCAGGCTGGTCTCCAACTCCTGACTGGGATCAGCCTTGGCTCCCAAAGTGAGCCACCGCACCCGGCCCATTGTGAGTTCTTAATTTGCCTGTTAACTTTGTGTAAAATATTTTTGGGCATACGGAGCATGTCGGAATTTTACTTTTATTTTAGGTCAAATCAGTCTTTTCCTTTGTGATTTCTTCAGTTGTTTTTATGCTAAGAAAACAACAGCGTAGTGAGCTAACCTGAAGAATTCTGGACAAGCCCTGTGAAACTTGAGGCCTCAGTTTCCACACATGCGAACGAGAACATTCTGGGCACTGCTCTGCAGACAGGGCCATTTCCGAACCCTTCTAGGGTCGCTCCTGCAGTGCAGGGAACTACATGCTTCAGCAGCTCTGCCTCTGCAGTTCTGGGAGAAATGGCAGGAGCCAGGGCGGAGGACGCCCGTTTCCTCACCTCCCCAGGGGTGGTAGGTGCTCGGCTGCCCAGAGCCTTCTGCTGGCCCCTGCCTCCCCCACCCGATGTGGTAGGAGTTCCTCCCTGCAGCACCCTGACCAGCTGGAAGCGGGACTGACCCAGCATGAGCTCCTCCAGCCCTCGCAGTGGTTTTCAGTGCAAGATTCCCTATGTTAAATCTCTTTCTCCTGGGGGCACCGGGACTGGCTTCTGGGCTCCCGCTGGAATGCCAGCTGATGGCAACGTGCTCCCAGGGACAAGCCTTGGTTCTAGGGCTTCCTTGCAGGTGCCTCTCTGTCTTCGCACATATTGGAGGGGCTCAGTTTCCCTGCGGTGGCGTTTGGTCAGTATCCAGTATCTCAGTGATCTCGGCCAGGTTCAAGGCTGACAGCATTCTGATTGCCAAATGTACACCCCCGCCGGCACCGCTCCCTGAACTCAGAAACCTCCATCCCGCTGCCACTGGCCTCTCTGGACACGGGGCAGACCAGCTTCCTGAGCTGGGCCCAAGATTGCCCCCACCAGCCTCCTGGCACAGCAAGCACGGTTCTCTGCTCCCAGCGTGTCTCTCTCTCTCTCTCCCAGGCCCCGTAGGCTGGGGACCATCACTGCTCTCCCTGCTGCTCCTCTTGCTCCCCAACAGTCCCTTTTCCACCCAGCAGTCAGGGCGGGTCTTCTCAGATGGATGTTGGATCAGGGGCTTTCCTCTCCGTGGCTGGCACGCCCAGCTCCCTCCGAGTCCCCAGCCTGCCCTGGCCTCCCGTTTCCTCATGGGGAACTGGCTGTTCCGTCTGCCTGCGCCCTCCTCCAGGCACACTTGCCCCGCGGCTGTGAGGACGCACTTGTGACCAGCTCTCACTGCCTCTTTACTGTCCCTTTCCCAGCTAGACGGTCACTTGGTGCTGGCCAGAGAGGAAGGGGAACGCCCTGCCTCCACAGGAGGTTGTGAGACCCAGAGACTTCCTGTGAGTGGGACTGGGCACGGAGAGGTGTGCCCAGGGAGGGCACCCCCCTGAGCTGCCAGGAGGGGCTCCTGCTGGGAGCTGACTCTGATCTCAACAGCCAGGCTTGCACCTCAGTGTCCCTCTCAGCTTCCTGTAGTTGCCAGGCTGTACCCACACCAAGGGCGCTGGTCCCCCCAGTGTAACTGATGACATCTTGTCAAAGGATCCCAGGAGCCAGGAGAGACCCTTCCGAGAGCAGTGAGTCAGCATGGCCGCTGAGGGTGATGACTTTGCGGGACGCTGCCGACAACCTCTTCTGGCCTCCCCGGCTCAGGCAACAGGGACCCGCTTCTCATCAATGACGTCTGTGTTCGGGAAGAGTGAGCATGCATTTTTAATGAGGTCAGAGCCTTGAGCCCTGTGCCATCAGCCCCAGGCAAGGGGGTTGGGCAGGGCCACGCTGGGCTGGAGGGCCCTGGAAGCTGCAGAGCCAAGTGGGAAGCTGGTAACTGACATCCTGGTCCACGCCAGCCCAGGCCCACGGCCAGGTCCTTGCCACTAATGCTGGGCTGGCGGCTGCTGGGACAGATGGTGTCCAGTCCACTCACAGAGTGGGGCCTGGGGCTTGGGGGTGGGGCAAGGGGTGATGTGTGGCTCAGGGGCACCGAGCACTGGGCCCTGGGCCAGAGCCTTCTGACCAGGCCAGCAGAGCCGTATGGGCCAAGGCTGGGTGGGATATCTCTCCCAGAGGAGGCAGGGGAGGCCCTTGCTACAGGAGTGAGCTCCCAATGGGGAACCAGCCTCAGTCGCTGAGACCAGCGTGTAGCTGCCCAAGGGTCTGTGGGTTTGTGATAAAATCTTGGGCCTTGGCCAAGTTCGGGGCTCCTCAGTCCCCATCCAGGGACAGCAGCAGGCACTCAGCAGTGGACAGTAGTTAGAGGCTGCTGCAGGGGTCTCTCAGCACCAGAAGTGTGCCTGTCTGCGGGACCCACGGGTGGGGAAGAGCTAGACCAGGTCCAGGCGGGAGGGAGCCAGGAGGTTGATCAACAACAGGATTTGTGATTCACGCCGCCAGCACCTGCTCATCAGTAATGCAAAGCTGGAAGTCAGTTAGAAAAGGAGGCCAAGGAGAGGGAGGCTGCTGGGCCACACGGTGGCCCTTCCCCACTTCCCACCTGTCAGAAATGCTGTCCTGCTGGGCATGGTAATGTGTCCAGCTAAAACCGTATTTTGCAACTCTCCTTGATGATAAAGCCACGTGACAGTTTTAACCAGTAAAACGTAATGGCAGATTGCTAGGTGCGGCCTCCGAGAAAGCACCTCGAAAGGAAGGTAGATTCAGCTGGCACATGCCTCTACTGTTCGCCTTTTCCCTCTCCTCATGTGGGATATAGATGCAATGCTGGAAGTAGGGCAGCCATTTAGTGACTGTGAGGCAATAGTCCGTATCAAGCATGTCTGCATGGAGAGGCAGGGAATGAGTTCCTCACGGCATCATGAGCTGCTGGACCCACTCTGGACTGCCTGTCTGCAGACTGCTTCTCATATGAGCAAAGATACCTTTAATTGATCAAAGCTTTTCTGCGCTTAGTTATATGCAAACAGTTTCCTAACAGATACAGATCCAAACAGATGGCTCGAAAAACAAATACACACTGCTTCAAACCTTCGGAAAATATAACAGGAGAGATGCTGATTATAAACGCTCAAAGCCGGCCGGGTGCGGTGGCGCGTGCCTGTAATTCCAGCTACTTGGGAGGCTGAGGCAGGAGAATCACTTGAACACGGGAGGTGGAGGTTGCAGTGAGCTGCACTCCAGCCTGGGTGAGGGAGTGGCTCAAAAAATTTAAAAAAACAATACATAAAGCGACTTTCCCAACGTGTTTGACTGGCAGAGATAACGTTTGCCCGCACACGAGGTGGGTGAGGGTGAGGGCGAACAGGTGCTCTCTGTCTGCCCAGGAGAGCAGCAGCGGGGCTCCGTGGAGAGCCACCCTGAAAGCACGACGGCCAGCACTCTCACAGCAAGAGCCAGTGACTTCTTGGACTTGACTTTGGGTGCACCCAGGGTCCTGCAAAGGGACAGGTGGTCAGGGAGTGCCGCGGTGGTTTGTAGCAGATCTCGTCTCTAGATTCTTCATTTAATTACATCTAAATAGTCGTATTCATAGGTAACCAGGGGTTAGGACCTCAACATTTTTTTAAAGAGCTAGGATCTTACTGTGTTGCCCAGGCTGGAGTACAGTGGTACAATCACAGCTCATCGTAGCCTTGAAGTCCTGGGCTTAAGCAATCCTCCTTCCTCAGCCTCCCGAGTAGCTGGGACTACCAGCATGTGCCACCGTGTTTGGCTAATTTTGAAATTCTTTGTAGGGAAAATGTTTCACTATGTGGCCTAGGCTGGTCCCTAACTCCTGGCCTCAAGCGATCCTCCTACCTCAGCCTCCCAAAGTGCTAAGATTACAGGCATGAGCCACTGTGCCTGGCCCACATTTTTTTTCTGTTAGACAGAAATAGAATCTTGCTGTGTTGCCCAGGCTGGACACAAATCCCTAGGCTCCACAGGATCTTTGCGCCCCAGACGTCCTAGTAACCGGGACTGTGCACATGCCGCCGTGCGTGGCTTAGCATTTTTTTTTTTTTTTTTTGCGGGGAACGAGTTAACCCAAAACACTGCCTTTTACCGAAGGCTGCTGTCCAGAGTCTGCCATTTGGTTTAAGTGCTGTGTGATTTTCTGGCAAGCGGCAGTCTTGAGCCTTGGCCTAGCAGAATCAGTGAATTGCAACAATTTCTTGATGGCTGGAGAGGAAAGCGAGCTGTCCAAACCGGGTCAGGACCCAATGTGCCGTTCCACTCGGACTTGTGCGGGGCTTTTGAAAGGATTTGATAAATCCAGTGCCTGTGAGGAGCAAGCTTCCTTGCCGCCAATGGGGGCATCTGTGCAGATCTGTGCCGGGCAGCCCCCTGGATGACCCGCTGTGTAGCTGCTGCCGGTTTGCCAGTAGGATCAGCATGCTGCGCTCCCCGTGGAAACACACACCCGTGGTCACCACGTTGTGACCCACCAGGTAATAACTAGTCTCAGCTACCATTAATCATCCGTGGGTTGTAGAAAACAAACCCTGTAACAAACGCCTTTTTCTGCAGTGGTTATTCTCAAGAAAGAAAAACAGGAACTTTACCACTTCTGCTTGAGGAAGCACCTTCTTTCCCTGCCAAGGTGGGCTCAGCCTGTGGCCGGGGGCACAGCACAGGTGCACCTGAACAGGTAGTGAGGGCGGGGGCTGGAACACGGCCAGGGCCGCGCAGAAAGGCAGCGTACACAGGCCAAGTTCAACCAACGCGCGGTGGCACCGAGGGCTGCAGCCTGAATTCGCAGGACAGGCAGGCAGCCCGAATTAGCACACTTGCTATGAGAGCCCTCCTTCCAGGGGCCGAGTGCCCTCTCCCTGCTCCTGGGCACTGATGGGCCGGTGGTGGCCTATGTGACAGCACCCCCGGGATTTCCCCTGGTGGGTTCAGCTTCCTCTGGAGGCCCATCCAATGGAGCTCATGCCCTACATTCCTGGAGGCAGGGGTCCCTCAATCCAAGCTCCTGTTCCCCGGGCACCTGCCACTGATGGATAGTGGGTGTGAGGTCAGCACCTGGGGGTGGGAGCAGGGACAGGTGCCAGGGAGGCCCCTGAGTGGGGCAGGGCTGCCGAGGCTGCAAGGGGTGCCAGGACTAGGACGGAGCTGTGAGGAAAACCCAGGGACAGGAGGACGGGAGCTGAGGAGCTGGGCGGCCTCCAGGTGGGCCTGTGACTTCTTCCAGGTGTGGGGAGGATGATGCAGGAGGTGTGGGGGTGTCTCCAGCCCTCGGTGTCCTGGGGGGCCTCACTGCCCAGGCCAGCCCCTGCCTTTCTGTCGGAGACTGGGTCAGAGATTCCCAACTCTCGGTTACCACAAATACAGCACAGGTTGTGGCCTTGGCCACCCTCACTACCACAGCCCCGGGCCCCTGGGGGATGGAGGACCCATTTCCCCAGAGAAGATGCCCCCTGAAGTGGGGGCGGGGCATGGAGTTGCCCCAGGGCTGACCCTTCTCATCTGTGTTACAGATGGAACCGCAGTGTGGATGTCACACCCCGGGTTCTGGCCAAGACTTCTTTTCCCCAGGGCCTGGCCTGACAGGAGCACCTCCAGGTACACAGGGCGGGCCTCCTAGGACACCACCGTCAGCCTCTCCCCGTTTGGAAGGCAGGCAGTGTTAGGAAGGCGTTCGATGCTGTTCACCAGAACGGCGGCACAGCCGGGGCCATCAACGAGGCCTCCAGGAGCCCCAGCAGACCGTACCTGCAGGGAGGTGGCCGCGGCCTCCAGGAACTGCTCAGGGTTGTCCCTCTTGGGCGTAAATTTGTCGAGTTGCTCGATCACAGCTTCGAGGCATTTTCCATAGTAAGCCATCTTCCCAGGCAGGGGCCTAAGAACAAACCGTGGCACGTCACGCCCTCCACACCTGGGACGTGGCGGCAGGACCCTCGGCGGCAGCAACGGGAGCCTGCCAGGGTGCCGGCCCTGCAGCGGCGGGGAGTGCCGGATGTGAGTGGGGGTCCTGGCAGGTCCCCCAAGGCCCACGTCCTGCACTGTCTCCCGCAGGCCTCTGCAGCTCAGGAGCCCAGGCTGGCCTGGCTGAGTTCACCCTCAGGTCCCCTTTCACCACAGCCCCAAGTCTGCCAAGCACTCTGCAGGCCCCACAGCCATGTCTCCTGGATGGGTGACCCCTGCAAGGGGCCCAGGGCAGAGAGCAGAGACTCCTCTCCAGCCAGCCTCTGAGCATCCCTCAGCTTAGCCCGGGAAGCTAACGGTTTCTTCGTCAGGCCATGTGGCAGAGCAGAGGTCCTGGGGAGGGTGACCTCATCACACATGGTTGGGGCAAGGAGCCTGGGGTCCTGATGACGAGGAAGCAGAGCCCTGGGGAGGGCTCGCAGGGACGCTGAGCATTCGAGAAATGCAGCAGTTCCAGGGACAGGCTAGCCCAGAGCCCCTCCCGGGGGACCTTGGAGAAGCTGCTTAGGGTGAGGCTGGGACCCTGGGAAGCAACTCTGAGGCCAGCATGTGGCCCCCAAATGATCCTCAGAGGAGGTGGAGCCTGTCAGCACAGGCTGTCACCCTTGGGTGTGGCGCAGGTCTGGGATCGGGCTGTACTATGCAGGATGGTAGGGCAGCGCTGGGCAGAGGGGCACCCTTCTCACCCTCCTCCTGCTCCGTGACTGACCAGCTGCTCTGGGCCAGGCTGGGCTTGCAGGGCCACCAATGCTGGGGACACTGGGAGCACCTCTCCTCTACCCGCAACAAGCTAGGACAGCCACAGGTAGCAGCCCGCAGACCTGGGCCTTCCAGGCTGGAGACTGACTTAAAAAATGCCAACAACCCCCCACGCCCACCTGCCAACACACAGCACTGACACTGGAGGGTCCCCCGCGAGACGCCGATCCGGGCCGTGGTACAGGGTCTGCGTTGATCCGCCGTCCAACACAGAGGAGGGGAGGCCAGGTGTCACCAGACGCGAGAGAAACCTCTGACACGAAACACGGAAACCGTAAGAGAAGAACCAGGAGAAAACGGCGCACAGAGCAGGAGAAAGCCTAGAAAGCAGGCACCGCGCTGCGAGAGAAGCGGAGACGCAGGGTCGCGGGGTCCAGGGAACAAGCCAAGGCAGGAGGGGAGAGGGCCTGGGAAAAGGAACTGAAGCATGCACAGAGCAGGCGGAAGGCGACGCTGAGGAACCCCGACGGAGCTGCAGGAGGCAGACCTATTCCCGGAGGTCCAAACCCCAGCTGACGGGAGTTCAGAGACACAAGCGAGAGAAATCAAACAAGAAAACCCCTGGAACGGAAAGGCTCCGGCAGCTCAGCACGGGGAATGAACCCTGAGATTTCAGAGCCGGGACGCCCCTGAACGTGTTTAGTGCAGGAAGAGTCAGGGATGCAGAGGAGTCCTGGCTGGGGGTGCCCTGGGAAGCAGCGGCTGAACTGAGAGTGTCCTGGGGAATTTCCAGGCAGCAATGCAGGTAGCCCCAGGGTGACAGTGGCTGGCAGGACAAGGACAGAGCAGGAGGGCGGGGGCTCCAGGGGTGTCTCCAGAAGGAACACCTGGCATGTTCTGCGTGTGGCTTTAACGGCAGTTAGGGAAAGAGGCCATGACGCTGGCTCTGGCCCCACGTCCCTGCTGTAGTACCGCCCAGCACCTGAGGCCTGGCCTGGGCTGTCCTTTCAGGGTCTGCTTTAGGGACCAGAGGCCCACAGAGCCTCTCTCTAAGGAGGCCAGGAGATAGGCCACTTGGAATTGGGAAATCTGGCGTGAAGCCCTGGTGCTGAGGACAAGCCTGGAGATCAGGTGCCCAGAACAAAGTGAGCACGAGCCTCTGGCACGGCCAGGGCTGTCCCTGCCCGGGAGCCTGCCCTGGGCCCCGGCTGGGTCACCTTCCCCCACCCTGTGTCTGGAGAGCAGCAAGGCCCAAGGCCACATGGCTGTGCGGTCCTGATGATTCAGGGCAAGGGGAGAGGCAGCGATGCTGCAGGCTTAGAGGACACCCGATCAGAGGCCATCATGCCAGCAAAGCCGCAGATCTGAGCTGTAGGTGCTGCGGCCAGGCTAGCCTGGGCAAGAAGAGAGAACTTTGTGGAGGAGCCTATCCAGACCCTCTGCAGGCTCCCTCCCCGTCCATGGCCTGCCTCCAGGGACCTTCCGCCCAAGCTGCCTCAGTCCCCTGCAGGAAACCTTTGCTTCTTGGAAGACTGGGCCATGGAAGAGAGGTCACCTACAGCCACCCCGCTCAGGGTCCTCTCACTGTCCTCGGATCCCATCTAGCTGAGTCTCTGGGGTGGGGACTGTGACAGCTGTGAGCTTGTGACAGGCTCTGCCCCAAGTCCCTGCTCTCTCTGAATTCAGCTCCTCTCCTCGGGAGGGTCCCAGCAGGCCAGGCCACCAGCATGGCACGAGTGGGGTGCGGTGTGGTGTGGTATGGTGCGGTGTGGGCGTCATGGCCAGCCCTGGTGGGTAGGTGGATCCAGGCAACCATAGCACAGCCAGGGCAATAGTTGGGCTGCTAGGGGCAGGAAGCACCTTTCTGGGGCATTGCTCGGTGGGGAACGGGACCTGTGGCTTTCACTCCAGGCATTGCTGAGGGCAGCAGGGGCTCCCTGTAGGCACTGACTCACAGCTCACAGATCTCGCTCCCCATCTTCCTCAGGGCCAGCCACACTGAGGCACTTTTTACAACTCCCATAGCATAACGGGACTTTGGAGGCATGGGGGCGGGCAGTAGACAGGGCCCTGGGAGCCCTGCCATCCTGGAGCTGGCGTGGTGGAGGCTGGGAGCGGCACTCGTTCTGGCACCCAGGAGTTCTGGCTCAGCACAGGGCAGGGCGTTTTGCAGGCCGGGAGCACCGTCTTTGGTCACGGGAAGGGGATCCTGTCCATGGCTGGGTGTAGGGGCTGTGACTGGGGCGGGAGGTAGCTTGGGGGTGTGTGTGGAGGCTATGTGAGGGGTGCCACTCTCCTGGCTCTAGTCCTGGAGCTACTAGGCAACCCTGGAGGACAAGGGGCTTAGCCTCCCTCTGCCCTGGGCTCTGCAGGGTGGGGTAAGTGGGTGGGAAGGCACAGTGTGGAAGGCGAACCCTTGGGGTTGAGGGTAGTGGGAGGAGCCTCTGTGCACAAAGAGTTGAGGCAGCAGATTTGGGGCCTCAATAGGGATGATCCCTGGGGGATGAAGGGACCTCTGAGACCACAGCCCCTCCCTGAGACCAGCACCTGTGACAACAGGAGCCCTGGTGCCTGGCTCCCAGCCTCAGCCTGGGTCCTGGTGCTGCTGGCCCTCAGCGGGCTCCCGGCCTAGCCCTGCCCTGTTGGGTGGGCCCCCCACCTCCCCACCCTCCACAGCCTGGTCAACGGCCCTCCCTCCCCTGTCTGGGCTCTGGCGTCACCCAAGGCCTCAGGAGCTGGAGTGGCTCTGGGGCCCTTTGTTCCACTGAAGCTCACTCCTAAAGGAAAACAACTCCAGACACTCCAGGAATCCCCACGCCAAAGGCAGCACCATGAGTGTGGGTGTGCAGCAGGGAGGGGCCGGGCTCCGGGGAGCAGTGTTTCCTCAGGGTCCCACCATGAGTGTGGGTGTGCGGCAGGGAGGGACCGGGCTCTGGGGAGCAGTGTTTCCTCAGGGTCCCACCATGAGTGTGGGTGTGCAGCAGGGAGGGGCCGGGCTCTGGGGAGCAGTGTTTCTTCAGGGTCCCTGATCCTAGTCACTCCTGCCTGGGGGCCAACAGGCACTGACCCAGAGGGTGTGGGAACCCCTGGAGGGAACGCTGGCTCTGGGAGGAGCCTGGGAAAAGATGCGGGATCCCACCGCCTGTAGCCTGTGCCCTTGAGAGACCCTGCTCTTGGCAGCCCAGTGTGGCTGGTGGACCTGACACTGCCGGTCCCTCCCCCACAGCAGGAGCTTTGCTGGACAGTGGCTCAGGCTGCCCAGAGCCCTCCCAGAAGCACCTCTCATAACCAGAGACTCATAGGAATGCTCTTCCCTGGCTTCATGTCTGAGCGGGCACTGGACACGTCCAGGTGAATCCTGTCTGGCCTGGCCGTTCCACCTGGCTGCAGCCCCCTCTCCTGGCCTCCCAAGTCTCCCACCCACACCTGCGCATAGCAGGTTCTCCTTAGGGACTGGACAGCGTGGAGGAAAGGCAGGGGGAACGCCAGGCTGTGGGCCTGAGTCCTGGTGGACAGGTTGTAGAAGGTTTTGCCGGGAGCGGCTTCAGGTCATGGTCCATTTCATCCATCACCAACAAATGCCCCCAGGCTCCAACTCAGCGTGTCCTAACCCTGTCACAGCCCCAGGTCACCAGTCCTCTCCTGCACCCAGCTCTGCCCACTTGGGCTTCTCCCTGGCTTAGACGAGAAGGCCCTTCGTATGTGGCTCCAGAACTGCAAACAGACCTCCTTCTTGTCCCCCACGAGCTCCTGGGTGTCCCCAACACCTGCTTCACCCCTCAGCTCCTGTGAAGGCTTCGATTAACCTCCACTGCATTGCTAAGGGCCTTGGGCAGTGTCCTGCTGCATCACTCTGAGTCCCAGCCTCTCAGCCCAGAGCTGGCACCTAGCCAGTGCCTCAGCAATGTCTGTGGAATGGACAGCTGACGGTAAACACAGGAACGGCTCAAGCATCCTAAGCTGTACTCGTGGTTTTCATCCTCAAGATGGCTTTCACATCCAAAGATAAGACCTATCCAATCTTGATTTAGTTTCTTTTTTTTTTTTTTTTTTTTGAGACGGTGTCTTGCTCTGTTGCCCAGGCTGGAGTGCAACAGGGCGATCTTGGCTCACGACGTCCTCCGCCCCTCTCACCCCATTCTCTTGCTTCAGCCCCCCGAGTAGCTGGGATTACAGGATTACAGGTGTTTGTCTCTACACCTGGCTAATTTTTGTATTTTCTTTTTTGTTAAGACGGAGTTTTGCTCGTCACCCGGGCTGGAGTGCAACAGCGGGATCTCAGCTCACTGCAACCTCTGTGTCCTGGGTTCAAGCAATTCTCCTGCCTCAGCCTCCCGTGTAGCTGGAATTACAGGCGCCCGCCACGGTGCCTGGCTAATTTTTGTGTTTTTAGTAGAGATGGGGTTTCACCATGTCGGCCAGGCCAAACTCCTGACCTCAGGTGATCCGCATGCCTTGGCCTCCCAAAGTGCTGGGATTCCAGGTGTGCGCCACCACATCCAGCTAATCTTTGTATTTTTAGTAGAACAGGTTTCACCATGTTGGCCAGGCTGGTCTCAAGCTCCTGACCTTAAACGATCTACCCTCCTCTGCCTCCCGAAGTGCTGGGATTTCAGGCATGAGCCACCTCGCCCGGCTGTTTTTTTGTTTTTAAATAGCTGCTTTAAACAACTTCTACTTAGATGGATTCTATAGTACAATAGATTTCAGTTTGATTGTCTCACTTAATTGGAAATAATAGATGCTGAAATAATATTTCTAAGTAAATAAGACCACAAACCTATGCTGTACTGGGCTGCCCACTTGGGCTGGGGGCCAGGTCCCTGTCCCCATGGAAGATTTCTTACTGCGTGGGCCCTTGAGGCCCAGGTGGGCTCTGAAGGCCTCCGCCTCATCCCTGATAAGCTGTTGGGATGAGCGATATCCGTGCAGAAGAGGCACCCTTGCCAACGCGATGGAGGAAAATGACACCCACAGTCCAGGACTCATGCAGAAAAGCATAAACTAGGTATTAGGTTGGTGCAAAAGTAATCGCAGTTTTTGCCATTGAAAGTAATAAAACATCTGCTTTTGGGGCCAAGTGTCATGGCTCATGCCTATAATCCCAACCCTTTGAGAGGCTGACGCAGGAGGACTGCTTGAGTCCAGGAGTTGGAGACCAGCCTGGGCAACAAAGTGAGACCCTGTCTCTACAAAAAAATTAAAGGATGACTCAGGTGTGGTGGCTCGCCTGTGGTCCTAGCTCCTCGGGAGGCTAAGGTTGGGGGGGTCCCTCGAGCCCAGGAGGTCGGGTCTGCAGTGGGCTATATGCCACCACACTCTAGCTTGGGTGACACCGTGAGATCCTGCCTGAACAGTAAACAAATAAGCCACGGAAAAGTCCACTTTCACAGGGACAATGTTGAAGAGTGACTTTCCTTGCCCTGCCTCCAAGTCTCATTGTGGGGAAGGCGGCCCTGGGATGGGGTCCCCTTGACCCAGCCTTTTCGAATCTGCTCTGGATACAGCTCTGCCTGGAGGAACTGGGTATACACCCAGGAAAAGGGCCCCTCTCTGCGCCTGGTGCGGGCATGAGATTGGGTGGTCTGTGTGTGTGGTGGGAGCAGTCCCCAGGGTGGGATTGTTTCCCTGCCGTCTCCCCTGTCCTGAAGCTGGAGCATTCTGGAGAAAGGATGATCCTAGGCACCCTTCAGTGATACAAGTCGAGGAGGAGCAAGAGGGCCATACCAAGCCTGCCCCCCGATCCAGGGTGGGCCTGGAAGGAAGGAACTGGAAGGAATAAATGGACAAAGCAAGTCGAAGATGGGGATGGGGGAGAAGAGCCCCTCTGAAGTACAGCCTGACTCAAAAAATCGTCCTGCCCTGCCCCTGGAACTCTTGTTCACTGTGGGGCCTGAAGGTCTCTGGGGCGGGGCTTCTGCACCCCTGAATCTGCCACGGAGCAGGTGTATGTGAAGGTGGATGTAAGGAAAAGAGATGCTTGAATTCTGAATTGCACTGAAATTAGCCTAAGAACTTCATCAAAAAAAATCACATCTTTGGGGAGGAAAATTCATCCAGTTGTGACAGGGCGCGGAGGCTCGTGCCTGTAATCCCAGCACTTTGGGAGGCCAAGGTGGGTGGATTATGAGGTCAGGAGTTTAAGGCCAGCCTGGCCAAGATGGTGAAACTCCGTCTCTACTAAAAATACAAAAATTTGCTGGCTGTGGTGGTGGACGCTTGTAGTCCTGGCTACTCAGGAGGCTGAGTAAGGGGAATCCCCTGAACCTGGGAGGTGGAGGCTGCAGTGAGCTGAGATCATGCCACTGAACTCCAGCCTGTGCGACAGAGTGAGACTCGGTCTCAAAAAAAAAAAAAAAAAAAAAAAAAAAAATTCAGTTTTGATGCCTGCTTTCAGCATCTCAGCTATGTTCATTCATTCACTCATTCTCAAATTCTCAGCTTTATATATTCTTTTCCTGATTTAGGGTCTCACTCCATCACCTAGGCTGGAGTGCAGTGGCTCCATGATAGCTCACTGCAGCTCAAGTGATCCTTCTGCCTCTGCCTCCTGAGTAGCTGGGACTATAGACACGCCTTCCATGCCTGGCTAATTTTGTATTTAACTTTTTTTTTTTTTTGAGACGAAGTTTCACTCTTGTTACCCAGGCTGGAGTGCAATGGCGCGATCTCAGCTCACCGCAACCTCTGCCTCCTGGGTTCAGGCAATTCTCCTGCCTCAGCCTCCCGAGTAGCTGGGATTACAGGCACGCGCCACCACGCCCAGCTAATTTTTTTGTATTTTTAGTAGAGACGGGGTTTCACCATGTCGATCAGGATGGTCTCAATCTCTTGACCTTGTGATCCACCTGCCTCGGCCTCCCAAAGTGCTGGGATTACAGGCTTGAGCCACCGCACCTGGCCTGTATTTAACTTTTGTTTCGTAGAGACAGGGGTCTTACTATATTGCCCAGGCTGGTCTTGAACTTCTAGCCTCAAGCGATCCTCCCACCCGAGCCTCCCAAAGTTCAGCTTAATTTTAATAATGAAGAACCACCGGGCGCGGTGGCGCGTGCCTGTAGTCCCAGCTACTCGGGAGGCTGAGGTGGGAGGATTGCTTGAACCCAGGAGTTCTAGGCTGTAGTGTGCTATGTCAATCAGGTGTCCTCACTAAGTTCAGCGTCAACATAGTGACGCCCCGAGAGCTGGAGCATTCTGGAGAAAGGATGACCCTAGGTACCCTTCAGTGAAGCAGGTCGAGGAGGTGCAGGCGTGGCGGCAGGCACCTGGAATCTCAGCTGAGGCAGATAATTGCTTGAACCGGGGAGGTGGAGGTTGGAGTTAGCCAAGACGGCGCCCCTGCACTCCAGCCTGGACAACAGAGCAAGACTCCATTTCAAATAATAAAAAAAAGGTGAGCTGGGCTACAGCTTCTCTTATGAAAATTTTTAGACACAAATGGGATGATATGAGGAGGTTTAAATTCCATCAGACACAAAACAGTTCGACACTCTGCACCACTAGAAGAGACCTCATTTATGTAAGATCTCAAATGTGTGTTAATTAAAATATAGTCTTTTCTCCTGATTAAATCCAGTCTCCTAAGGGTTGCTGCCAAGTCATGCCCCCATGGCTTGTGCTTAAACGCAGCCACGTGGGGCAGGTTTTGGTGGTTGCTTTTCAATCTCCACTCTCCCTTTCCGCCCAAATTAGAAGACTCTGATTTTTAGCTGAGTCTACTTCTGCCCAACTGAAAGATGGCATTTCCCAGCCTCCCTGGCAGCTGGGGCATGGTTGTGTGGCTAAGTTCTCCCACGTTCAAGAAGGGGAAAGCTATCTGACTTCTGGAAAGTCTCCCTGAAAGAGAGAGGCATATCCATCTTCTCTTTTGCAACTGGTACCTGGGCTGAGGTGATGGCAAGAATGTGGGCAGCCATCCTGGATCATGAGGAAATGTTGTGAATGGCAGCCAGAAAAGCTGATCCTTGAGGGCTTTGGGGCTGCCATACCAGCCAGGATTGCCTCTCCATGGACCTCTTCTATAAAAATGAGTAATGTTTTTGTTTAGGTCACTGTGATGTTAGGATTTTTCAATACAGGCAGCTAAATCTAACTGATACCCCACTTCCCCGAGGTCAGCCTTCATCCATGCACAATTTCGAATGATGAAGGAAGCCTCTGGACAGATACAACTGCTCCAGGCTTTGGAGTTGGCCAAGGATAGACCCACAGAGAACAGCCATTCACTCAGTGGTCAAGCTTATCAAGTGTCTACTCCGGATCCTGTGCTGAAAAAACGATGGCTTTGGGAGCAGCAGGTTTTGTGGGGGGAAGATTGAGAGTTCAGTTAGGGACACATTACATTTGAGAGGATTTGTTAGATGTCCAAATGGTGAAGAACAGGTAAACAGGTCTGGAGTTTCAGGGCTGAAGAGGTTTTGAGAAGTCTGGGAGAAGATGCTTGTTTATAAAACCAAGTGACTGAAGGAAATCCCACAGGGAGGGCGTGGATAGCGTAGCTGCCAAGGACTGAGTCCAGGGTCTCCAGTCGGGGGAGGTCGGTGAGCAGAGGAGGTACCCAGCCAAGGAGATGAAGCAGGAGTGGCCAGGGGCGAGGAGGGGAAGTGGACAGTGTGATCTGTTCTAGGCCAGCAAGGACGGTGTGTCACAGAGAGGGCGGTCGGCAGGACAAGGAAGATATGAGTGCTGATCCCTGCTCGTTGGATTTTGCAACATCAAGGTCAAGGATGACTTTGATAAAGAGCTTCAGAGAAGTGATTGAGTGAAAATCTGGAGTAGGTCCAGAAAAAACAGGTGAGAAGGAATTGGAGATAAGAGGCAACTCCAGAGGGCTTTGACACTTCAGAGGGCCGACTGCGTGCTGGGAAGAGGAGGCAGGGAAAAGCAACCAATTACTCAAAAACGAACATGGACCCCTGACCCCACCTAAGGGAAATCTCAGATGCCAGCGCGCCTGGGCTCACATTGTGTCTGATAGAATAGAGTGGTCATGGAGTCCACGGACCTTTCTGAGCACCTGGCCCTGGCCAGTGAGGACAAGCAGGAACAGGTCACACTTCTCGATTCTGAACCGAGGAGGGCATGACTTCCGTCTCCCGTGTCTCACACCTGCACGTTTCACAACTAGCCAGAGACGTGACGCGGGTGCGGCAGGGAAAAGAGCAGCGCTGTGGGGTCAGGCCGACCCCGACCCGCCGCGATCTGGACGCAGCCCCCACAGCCAGGGCGCGCCGGCCTCGTTGTCCCCGTTTCTTCGGCTGCGGATGCGAAGTTTAAGTGAGGCCACCTGTGGTTTTTAGCTCTCCGCTTGACACAGAGCAGGTACCCAGACTGAGGCGAGCATTTTAAGGTACAAATTAGGGCACCATTACGGGGAGTAGAGAGGGCGGGAGAGCATCATTTTAGAACGCACCGCTGATAGTGGCGATTAAAAAAACAAGGCACCGTTCACTTTCATCAGGGAGCTGGGAAGGCCGAAAAGGTGTTTGGAGGAAGCAAGAGCAGCGAGCGAGAGGGAACCGACCGGCGGGTCAAGGAAGTCGGCGGCGCGAAGCCCCGCACCTGTCCCGCCCCCGTACCTGGCGGGCCTCCGGACCGCCGAGCCCTCCTGCCGCCGCCACCTGCCGCCGCCACCTGCCGCCGCAGCAGCTTCCTCGGCCAGCGGGGGCGAAGGGTTGGCAGTAGTCGCCGGGCCGCTCCTCGTAGGCAGGACGCGGCGGCTGTTTGGCGTCGTCACCTAGCAACCGGCTGCACTCTCCGGCGCCGTCTAGTGGACTACAACCCCCAGAATGCACTGCGCCGCGGCGCGGTCCGGGACGCCGAGCTCCGGGCGCCGCCTCCCCACCATGCCCTTCGGGACTTGTAGTTTCTTGGCCCCACCCCCACCCCCGGGCGCGGCGGGTAGCCCCGCCGGCAGGGAGCGCGCCTCGGGCGGGGTGCGGCGCCCGCGCGGGGATTGGGCCGCCTCCTCCGCCCCGCCTGCCCCGCCCGCAGCTCGCGGTGGGCCCGGGGCTCGCGGCGCCCTAGGCGCATGTGCGGCGCGGGGCGGCCGTGACCGGTGGAGCGCCGGGTGTCAGTGAGCCGCGAGGAGCCGCGCGCCCCCGTGCCCGCGTCGGTCCCTGCGCCGAGCGCCCGCTCCCGGGTCTGAGGGTCCGCCCGGCGCGCCGCTCGCAGAGCATCCTCAGGGCCGCGCACCTGCCCCACGCGCCCGCCCTGCGCACCTGCCCGCCGCCCGCTCGGAGCTCCCGGCTCCGCGCCCCCCGCTGCCCCGCGACTGCGCGGGGACCCCGGCCGTGCCTCCGCGTCCGCTCCGCGCCGCAGCCGGGCCGGGGCGCAGCGTTGCGGAGGGCGAGGGCCTCCCGGAGCCCGGCCAGGGCCGCCGCGGCGATGATGAACAGGTTCCGAAAGTGGCTCTACAAACCGAAGGTGAGCGGCCCGGCTCGGGCCGGACGCCCCCCGCGCCGCGGCCTCTGCCCTCCCAGGACCGCCCGTCTGCCCTCCGAGACTCACTCCCTTTGCCGTCAGTGGCCACGCTCTTCCCCCACCGCCGCCATCCTTCCCCCCTCTCTGCGACTTGGACAGACCTTCCCCGCCCGGCCCTGGGACGGATCCTAACCCCTCCCCGATTCCTAAGCCTGGGGGCAGGACTGACCGTCCTGCTCCTTCGTGCCAGGGCGCACTTTCCCTCCCCCACAACGGCCCCTCTCCCTCCTCACTCCTCATCCCGCTCCTGGACGGTCCCCTCCTGCACCTCGTTGTCCCTAGCCCGGAGCCGACCTCCTACTACTCCGTCTGCCCTCCCTGCACCAGGGACGCCCCCTCATTCCACTCCTGCCCCCACCCTCATCGTCCTGGGCCGGGAAAGGACCTCCCTCCGCACTCCAGAACAAACCCTCTCCCCACTTCCCCAGGTTCTGAGAGAACCCTCGTTTCCCAATCTCCGGGTCCAGGGCAGACCCATCCTTGCGTGTCCAGAGACGATCCTGATGGCACTGCCAGCGGCCTCCCTTCCCGAACCAGGACGGATCCGCTCCTCGCCCCAGTTCCCGTCCCCGCCCCCTCCCTTGACCCTATCTCGTCCCTTCCCCACTCTCGTCCTCTGGAATCCGGGACAGGTCCTCTGCCCGGCCCGCGGGGCGAGTGCACCCGTTTCCAGCAGCCTCGGTGGGGCGGGAAGTGTGGTTCCCCAGCGGGCGCCTGCGCCCCTCCTAGCGCCGAGAGGTCGGGGTTCGGGCGGCTGCGCCAGTCGCACTGCGGGCGCTGCGTCCCTGCAGCCCGCCTGGGGCTCGTGTCCGCTGCAGCCGGAGCAGGGCTGGGCGCTCTCGGCACTGGGTCGAGGCACAGCGGTGTTCGGGATCCCGGCGCTGGGTCCAGGGTGCATCTGGGGGTCCGAGGGTGGCACCCCCTGGCCGGCGCAGCGGGGAGGCCGGGCCCTGAGATCTTGGGGTAGGGCACGGGTCGGGTGGGGTCACTGTGGCGACCAAGGGCGGGAGTGGGGCCAGCGCTGCGTCCCGGCAGCTCGGTCGGAGGCCACCGCGTTGCCGACCTACCCCTCCTTCCTCCGCTCACCGCCTGTCCCTGTCCCGAGTCCCCCAGGCCGCAGCCTCCACCGTGGGGGATCTGTCACGGTGGTGGGGGGTCTCCTGAAATCCTCGCCTCTTGAGCGCCCATTCCAGAAGGCGGGAGGTGGGTTTGGAAGATGAGCACGGAGGTTTGGCGCGCGCTTCACAGCCTTTGAGGTTGGGGGATTCTGCTTGGCATTGCAGGAGTGTTGGGTTGAGAGCTTTCGTACCTGAGGCGCCCCTTGCTCCGCCCTGGTCTGACCCGGAGGGGATTGCGGCGGGGTGGGGCGTAGAACTTAGGGTTCCTTGGTGCCTGTTGTGGCGGCGCTCCCTGCTCCCAACCTCCCTGTTCCTAGCAGTGACTTCTTAAGGGTTGGTCCGGAACCTCGCGCTTTCTGGCGCTGGGTATGGTTTGGGGCTGCGCCTCTGCCTTCTGCGCCCAGCCTACCCTTTTGCAGCCCCACCGAGCCCCTCTCAGTCCTGCCTGCGGCCCCCAGGAGCTTCTGCAGGGGGAGGGCGGTGGCCTCCGCTCTGGACAGCTGTATGAGGAGTGGCTTTTGGTTCCAGTGACTTTTCCTCACCAGTTACAGAAACCCAAGCCCGCTTGTGAAACCGTGTTTTGGGGGCGTGCAGCAGCATTATTTTCTGTGACAAATGGCGGGGGGCAGTTGGAGAAACGTTCTCAGGTCTTAAGTGACATTCTGGTGTCGCCGAAAGCACTTGCTGGGACACCAGGGGATGCCCCTCAAGACGTGGCTGCAGAAGAGGCCGCATTTGGGGGGGGATCGCCCTACTTACCGTGTTGAAAAGGAAGGAAAAACAGTACTAGACTCTGTTTCATGAGTAGCTGAATAATTTCAGAGTGGCCTTGTCTGTTTCCGTAGGAAGACATGTTAAAGGTGGAACACGATATTAGAGGTTGTCCCAAGAATTAGGAATTGTGTTCCTAACATTTCCTCTTCAGCAGGCAGCTGCCTTTCCAGGCAGGCGGCAGGCACCAAGAGGCACAGCAAGTGAATCAGCTGATCCCAGAGATCAGCCGGGCTGTGCGCTTCCGGGGAAGGGAGGGAACAGGGTTCATCTGCGCCTCTCCTTTTTCTGGTTGTCTTTTCCTGGCAGGCTGTGTGGTACTAGCTCCTGAGCTCCGCACTGGAGCTGTATCTCCATCCCAGATCTCTCTCTAGCCATGGCATTTTCTGGGAGCTGGTGCCCTGTGGGCAGTCTGTATTTTGGCTGTCTCTTATTTGAGATCTGTCCTTGGAGTTAAATATCTTGATTGTTTGAAGGGTTGGAGTGTGTTATGTCACCCCATAGCTTTTCATTTTTCAAACCAAATCTCAGATTCTTGCCTTGGATTATGAATTGAATTTTATGCTTCTCCTTCCTGTCTAATTTAACACATTTTGGCACAAATAAGCACAAAGTCAGTCCTGGGAAGATTCTGGCCCTGGAAGAGCTGAAGTGTTAAACGTTAGCTGTGGGAGGATGCATCTGGGGGAGACTGTTGCCTGCACTTAGGAATTTTTTCCCCCACTTTGTATTTAGATAGATGTACAATTCAAACCGCGTTTTTAATTGAATTCCTACTTTGGTTTAAAACTGCCCACTGAGATTTTTATAAGTTTTTTAATGCGTGCCTGTATGTGTGTGTGTTTGTGGAGAGAGGGTCTCACTATGTTGCCCAGGCTGGACTCAAATTCCTGGCCTCAAGCAATCCTCCTGCCTTAGCCTCCCCAAGTGCTGGGGTTACAGGTGTGAGCCGCTGTGCTTGGCCAACACTGAACTTCTTGTTCATTACAATATGGTGGAAAATATTCTGAAATGAAAATATTATTCACTGGTCTTATAGTTCCAAGAAGCAATTGGAAATGCTTAAAAATATTCCTGTGTGACACAGGTTTTAATATCTGAATAAAAATTAGCTACAGTATTAGCTCCCTAGGTTGAATAAAAGTATGCCTGATGAATAATATAAAAGTTTAACATTCAAATGACATTTGCAAATTATATTTCTATTCACTATCTTTAATCAGTCTTTTAAACACCACTATGATTTTTCTCCATGTGTTATCCTGACTTTGAGCATTACCTGGAAGAGACAGTGCAGGCAAACCTGTCAGCTTGTCCTGCCATGTTGATGTTGGTGAAATACTTTTCTGTTTTTTTTTAGGTAAAGTCTTTCCAAGAGAGCTGATGCTTTAGAAAGGCGAACCATTTTGGCATAGTTGGTGTCTGCATTTGAAACAAAAGTCTCAGTGCTGTGTTTCTTGCTTCGTTATGACTTTCTATTGAGTGACCTGGCTGGAGGTTCCTGGTCACTAGGAGGTGAGAACTCCCAGCAAAGGGGAAAGGGACCTGGACCCTTACCTGGAGCTGGCCGAGATTTCCCGGCCATCACCAAAGAGCATATTAATAATCACCAGGATGGACATGTGTTTTCCATCTTTGAGGAGGGATTGACCCTCGGTGGGTTATGCTGGCCAGGTGGTTGGGATAGCTCCCTGGTGGCTGGTTACCATGCCCAACCATGTACCCTGAGAACAGCTTGCTTGTCTGCACCCGCAGACCATCTTCAGTGGGGGCTTCTTAGCCTTCCTTGTCCCACCTCTTTGCAGGGGAACATTCCTCATAAATCTGCCTTACTGAGTGATGTGTATTTGGCAACTTCCTTTAAACATTCCAGGCCCAGATTAGCGATGACATGACCTTCGTGACGTGCCGGGGGTGGGGGTGTGTGCTTTTTAGAAGAAGAACCCTGGGCTCGGTAACGTCCGCCTGGGGGCCAACCCCACTGGCGTGTTTTGTGGGAACCTGCTAGGACTGAGCAGCACTGAGCATGGGACCTCCTGCCATTTCACTCTTGTGTTAACCCAGCCTCAGTCACCCAGGGATTTCCAGGGTTCCAGCCCACCTGCTCACAGTCCCCTGAAGAGAGCTGCCCATCGGTGGTAATATACCAGGCAAGGCCTGGGTATATCTGTTTGGTCCCAATGTTCAGAGATGAGGTGCAGCCTGGCTCGCTGGTTAGGGCTTCCCACTGGTGGCTGAGAGTGACAGGTGTTGACAGAGACCCACCAGAAATACATAGCTGGGGCTTGGAGTGCTCTGGGAGGAGTCTTGGTGGAAGCTGGGGTCTGGCACGAGTGGGACCTGTGAGAGGGCAGTCACCAGCACGTGACACCTCAGAAGTGAACTGCTGTCCCTACAGCACTGCGTCCATGCTCCAT